ATCAAACAGTTACTGTAATTACTACACTGCAGAACAATCAAAGGCACTTCTCAGTGCCAACAACAACATAACTATCTTTAACTACAATATCAGATCTTTAAGCAAGCATTACGATGACCTCATAGCATTACTAAATTCCTTACATGCCAATATGTCCATCATTACACTAACTGAAACCTGGCTAAAGCCTGATAGTACAGATGTCTATGCCATTCCTGGTTACACAGCCATACACAACTGTAGGCCAGACCAACAAGGGGGTGGCACAGCCATATACTACTCAGACCAACTAGAATGTATCACTAATACTTGCACAAGGGATGAACATGGGGAATATATAATAGCTAAATTCAAATCCAAATACCTACAAAAACCTCTCACATTGATAAACATCTACAGAGTTCCACAGTCAAACATTACCCAATTTAGTCAAAACCTAGGAAGTATGATAACTGATGCACGCATGAACAAAGATCACTTACTACTCTCAGGTGACTTCAATATAAATCTCCTGCAAGACCAGGACCCACACATTACTGAATTCACAAACACAATGAGTAACTGTATGTTACTACCAACAGTAACAAAACCTACAAGAGTTACAGAGACTAGTGTTTCCCTACTTGACCACATCTGGACCAACACCATATCCCCTTTAAAATCAGGCATAATTAAATATAATACCACAGACCACTACCCTACTTTCCTCATAACAACTCTTGGTAAACTACCCCAAGACACTACTAAAGTCACCTTCAGACTTCACAATGAGGCAGCCATTAATAACTTCACAACAGCAGTAGCAAACATTGATTGGCACACTGAGCTAGAAATCTATACAGATATTGACGAATGTATTAATAATTTTCTAAAAAAGACCCAATACCTCTATAACAAGCACTGCCCTAAAAAACTAAACAGATGACAGCTAAGAGACCGAACAGTCCCTGGCTAACACCCAGCATTCTCAAATCCATAAATACAAAACACCAATATGAAAAACAGTACAGAATGGGTCACATAACCAGAGACCAAACAAAACGTTACTCGTCAATCCTAACCAGCCTGATAAGAAGGGCAAAAAAATTGTATTATGAGAACAGATTATCCAACTTATGAGGTGATATAAAAAAGACCTGGAAAACCCTATCAGAAATTCTGGGAACAAAAAAGATATCACGAAATAGCGAAATAAAATTAGCAAAGTCAGATGAACCCCAACTCCCACCAACAGAAACAGCAAACAGACTCAATGATTTCTTCTCCACTATAGGACAAAACCTTGCCAATAAAATCCCAAGCTCAGATACCCCACCAAATGACTACCTCACCGGCAACCACCCGAACACACTGTTCCTAGCTCCGACTAACCCATACGAAGTCTCCCTTATTATCAACGCACTAAAAAACAAGGCAGGAGATTTAAATACCTTACCACCCTTTATATACAAAAAACTGTCACAAGTGCTATCACCAATCATTGCAACAAATCCATAGAATCCTCCACCTTCCCTACAGTACTCAAAATAGCAAGGGTCACCCCGATCCACAAAGGAGGAGACCAAACAGAGTTGAATAACTATAGGCCAATATCCAACTTACACCCTCTCTCAAAAATCTTCGAAAAATTAATTCATAAACGAATCTACTCCTACCTTATCTCCCAAAACATACTCAACCCCTGCCAATTTGGATTCAGGCCTAATAAAAATACTAATGATGCTATTATACACATGCTAGAACATATATACACTGCAATAGAGAAAAAAGAAGTCCCACTGGGGATCTTCATTGACTTACGTAAAGCTTTTGATACAGTTGACCATGACTTGCTCCACGTAAAATTGTCACACTATGGTATAAGAGGGCACTCCCTCAACTACCTCAAGTCATACCTCAGCAACAGAAGCCAATATGTGTACGCAAATGGGGCAAACTCTTCTGCGCAACCAATTACAGTTGGTGTCCCACAGGGAAGTGTCCTTGGCCCTCTTCTCTTTCTCCTATACATAAATGACCTTCCAAATGCTTCGCAATTACTCAAACCCACACTATTTGCAGATGACACTACATACGTCTTCTCTCACCCGAGCCCAGTCACGCTAGCCAATACTGTAAATACTGAATTACAGAAAATATCTACCTGGATGAGGACTAACAAACTTACACTAAACATTGACAAAACCTACTTCATTCAGTTTGGTAACAGAGCTACAGATGTCCCTCTTAACATAATGATAAACGGATCACCTATCACAAAGCTAACAGAGGGAAAATTCTTAGGAATCCACCTTGATAATAGACTCAAATTTCATACACATATACAACAAATTTCTAAGAAAATTTCCAAGACTGTAGGCATACTGTCAAAGGTACGGTACTATGTTCCACAGTCAGCCCTCCTGGCCCTATATCACTCTCTTATTTACCCCTATCTCACCTATGGAATTTGTGCATGGGGCTCAACAACAATTAACCATCTCAAACCACTAATTACCCAACAAAAGGCTGCAGTTAGAATGATAACAAATTCTCACTACAGGCAGCACACTCCACCAATATTCAATACACTAAACCTACTCACCATACAAAACATCCATACTTATTACTGCACCTATTACATACATAGAACACTTAACTCTGATATTAACCCTCCCCTCAAACATCTTGCCAACCTCAACAGAACACATGACCATAACACAAGGCACAGATCACTCTTTGATGTTCCTCGTGTCCATCTCACACTATGCAAAAACTCAATGCACATAAAAGGCCCTAAAATCTGGAATTCATTACCTGTAAATATAAAAGAAACACTACCTGTTTATAAGTTCAAGTCTCTTCTCAAAGATCACTTACTCACCCAAAACCAAATAAATACTGAATAACTGAACCTTATAAATTGTATATCTTAAATGTTTCTCACAATTATATCACATAAATGTTAAACCTAAAACCCAATCTAACTTTATTATTTTTTAAATACACTACCTAACAGAATACTCCATACGACTGAATGTACAACAATGCATGCAACCATATGACCTGTCTTTGTAATACTCATTTGTGCTTTATAGTTATCTGTTTACAATAATGTATTATCACTGATTTCATCATTGCTTAGTTAATTTTAAGCCAGCCCGAAATGCTATGCATAGTATAAGTGGCTTTGGCATGCTGCTCTTATCTGTATTTTTTTGTACCTCTGTATGTATGCTCAAATAATAAATAAATAAATAAATAAATAAATAAATAAATGGTGGCTTATTTAGCAGTTACAAGCACTAAAAACACTGGAATAATACAAAATGTACCAAATGTATTCGTGGAAGTGACCGCACAGGCTTGTAAACATTGGCACATTAACTGAAGGCAGGGCAACTAAGGCACGCTCAGGCCAGAGGGACGCGTGGACGCGTTTGGGACGAATGATGTAAGTCGAGTTTATGTTTGTAGGTCGGGGAAATTTTTTATGCTGAAACGCTTCGTAAGTCGATTTTATCGTTAGATGAGGCCTTCGTAAGTCAAGGGTCCACTGTATAACTATATTATTAAATTTTAGGTGAAATTTCAGTTAGAAGTTTCATACTATGTATGGTACTTCAGAAATTTTATAAATGGATGGAAAAAAATGAGAAAAAATGCTGAGTTTCGTACAAAATTCGTTCTAGAAGGCTGTTCGAGTGCCATTACCGAACGAATTTGTTCCCATAAGGAATAATTTAAACTAAATTAGTCCATTTCAGACCCCCCAAAAATACACTTACAAAAGCATTTATAATAATACACTTACATAATTGTTCGAGTTGGGAACTGTACGAAACTCGGGGTACCACTGTATATATGTAGCTGGAAAATGGTGGAAGAGGCATATTTGATTGAAAAATGCTAAGAAAGCTCTGCCATTAGCAGCAGTAGCCTAGTTGATCAGACAGGCAACTAGGATGTCAGGCCTTAGTTTGGACTGTCAGGGTAAAAATACTCTCAAAACTGGTCACGTATATACTGCCACAATTATGAGCACCAGTAAGTGTAAATAGAAATAATAGAATGCCACAGCTATACTGTCAACAGCACTAACATTAAATTCAGTTCAGTTTATTGGGACTTTTCACTAATTTTAAAAGCTTGGCATATTTTTCATTAAGCTTAGTTTTGCTTTTAATAATTTAGATTGTAGAGCTGTATTTCCTGTTCTTTGAAATATACATTATTTTGATAAAGGTGGATATTAGTTTCTGAAATGTATTAGCTGTAATAACATTCACCCCATAAGAAAGGTCCAGATTGGATTTCCAGACAAAATAACAGCATAGAGAAAAGTTGTATGTACAGTACTACATTTGCTGCTGTGTAACCACACAGTGACTGGGGACCTTTAGGGGTTAAACCACAAGAGCCAGGATTTCAAGTTTGCAAGGTATGGTTATTTTGTTTATAAAATAACCATTTAGAATATTTAGATTTAGAACTTTTGATATTGAAATATCACTTCAGCAGATACAGAATGCCACTAGCATACCTCAACCTTAATATTTTTGTATGTAGAGGGTTTTTGCACATTTATTTTTTCTAAGTGCAATTACCTTGGATCAGTTTTCTGTTTACAGAATTTGTTTTCTCTGCTTTTCCCATTTTTCACATTACAGTGGACCCCCGCATAACGATTACCTCCGAATGCGACCAATTATGTAAGTGTATTTATGTAAGTGCGTTTGTACGTGTATGTTTGGGGGTCTGAAATGGACTAATCTACTTCACAATATTCATTATGGGAACAAATTCGGTCAGTACTGGCACCTGAACATACTTCTGGAGTGAAAAAATATCGTTAACCGGGGGTCCACTGTATTTTGTCATACAGTATTTGTATATGTGTACCTTCTTCACATAATTATCCATTGAGACTGGACTGCGGTATTGGCAGACATGTAAAATCAGCTCTTCATGCATGAGTAATACTGTGTCACAAGAATATACAGGACTCGCTTTTCTTGCAGACATTGGATGGATTGGAGGAGCAGATACACATTGGAGAATGTACTCGACTGGAGCTATGGGGGGGTGGATCCATCAATTCCAGGCAATGGAGGACCATCCTGTGCAAATTTTCTCTCCATGCACCGCCGCCTCTTCGAAACTTTTCTGGGATGTGCGATACCACTGGTGTATTTCTTCTGGGGTTATTCATATATTACATACCCATCATCATATAAATTTGTAAGGTTAGTGACTATTATCTGGAGAATTATTTTATCAAGCTTCTAAAAGATAATATTAACTGTGTTAAAATGACCTGTGAATACTGACAGCCTTATGGGTGTACAATTGTATGTGAAATTTTTGTTGGTATACAGTTTGTTGTGTGATTAAATGCACTCACAAAACTTTTGGAAATGAATATTTACAGCAAATTAATTTTATTTATAGTTTTAGGAAGAGCTGCTTAATATGACACTGTTTGCTATAAAATGGGATCCCATTACTCTTGCTGTTTGATCTATAATTATGCAGGTATTAGCAGTGTAGTATGTAGGTAATGTTAATTGACTTAATTGTCTAATTACCAAAATTAATTTTAATTTTAATTTATTTATTACTATTTTAATGATCAATAATGATCATGATTTTTTCACACATTAAATGTGAGGGAAAGATTGACAATGATAAATGAGACACTTGTACAAAAATTGGGTATCTTTATTGTGAAACTTTTCACCAGCTAGTGGCTGCTTCAGTCCAGTACAGAGAAAAGTGAACTGAAGAAATGACTGGCTAATATAATGTTTCCAGAATGGAGATACCCAAATGTTGCACACACATATAATTTATCAACTTGCTGCTTTTCTAACCATACATTAACAAGGTTGACCTTGCATATCTCTGCTTAGACTGATGTGAATGGTATACTAGAGATTTTTGGTATTTAATTCACACTTACTATAAGATTTTCTTAACCACAGTAGGGTGGGGCTCAACCTCATAGTAAGTGAGTTTTATGACGCACTTGCCATGAGTTTGATCCCCACCCGCACCATGGTTTATTTGCAATTGTGTTATTACAATTTCGTGAATCATAAGATTTTCTTGCTTGATGTTCCCCAAAACTGGAAATGAGTATAAAACTAATTCAGGTCACTCAGTAGAAGTGATAATGTCAGAACTCTGATATTCAAGGATCTCCACACTTTTAATATCACAGCTTCAAGGAAAATGATAGGCTGGATAACTAGACCCCTCAAAACAAGAGATGCCAAGTCAATGATAATACTGTTTGTCACTTGTTCTCTCTACACTGAGGTGTATTTTGAGATTTACCATGGGCTCAGATAGTAAGCTTTACCTTACTAAATGCACTAGTATGTGTGTAACCGCCTTGGTACTGTGGCCAAAATTTTATTTAATTTTATTTTATTTTATTTTTTTTTATTAACACATCAGCTGTTTCCCACCAAGGAAGGGTGGCCCAAAAAAGAAATACATGTACTTTCATCATCATTCACTTATCACTGCTTGCCAGAGGTGTGCTTGCACTACAGTTATAAAACTGCAACATTAACACCCCTCTGAAGGAGGGCCAACATTAACACCCCTCTGAAGGAGGGGTGTTAATGTTGGCCAAAATGTTTCAGAAAAATAATTAACATTAAAATTTCTGCTTGGATTTTTCCCTTAGAAAGTTTTGAAATACAGAAGAAATCTTTCAGTGCCATCTTTCTTTTACTTGTGGGACAACCTTAATTACACTGGGCATGTGCAGGTACTTGTGCCTAAAACCAGAAGTGTTCAGATTTGTTTATTAACCTTCTGTACTGTAGTTTTTAATTTATCTACTTATCTACCTGTCCATGTATCTCCTTATCTACATATAGTATACAGCATCTACATATCTGCCTGCTTCTTATTAAAAATAAAAAATGTGTACCTTAACAGGAAGGACCGAGGAGGTAAACGAGCACTGCTAGTGTTGGTATCAATGGTGTTCGGTATGGAGATAGGCTTCAAGTTTGCCACAAAGCAGCTGATATATCTTTTGAATCCATGCCATATTACAACAGCAATACAGGTGTGTGCAAATGTTTTAATTGAAAACTATTCTTTGAATTCTTTTTTTGTATTATTATTTAGTTTGAAAGAATGACCTGGTGTTTTTTTTATTTGTGTAATTTTATGTTTTATTGTGAAATGTGTTTTGAACCTTAATTGGTTATAGAACTTTGGCATCTTTTGCCTATTCCTTTTGACAGAAGATATACTAATTTATCTTTCTTCTTCTTTCAACACACCGGCCGTATCCCACCGAGGCAGGGAGGCCCAAAAGGAAAAACGAAAGTTTCTCCTTTTACATTTAGTAATATATACAGGAGAAGGGGTTACTAACCCCTTGCTCCTGGCACTTTAGTCGCCTCTTACAACACGCATGGCTTATGGAGGAAGAATTCTGTTCCACTTCCCCATGGAGGTAAGAGGAAATAAACAAGAACAAGAACTAGAAGAAAATTAAAGGTGAATACAGGAAAGAGTAAGGTTATGAGGATAACAAAAAGATTAGGTGATGAAAGATTGAATATCAGATTGGAGGGAGAGAGTATGGAGGAGGTGAACGTATTCAGATATTTGGGAGTGGACGTGTCAGCGGATGGGTCTATGAAAGATGAGGTGAATCATAGAATTGATGAGGGAAAAAGAGTGAGTGGTGCACTTAGGAGTCTGTGGAGACAAAGAACTTTGTCCTTGGAGGCAAAGAGGGGAATGTATGAGAGTATAGTTAGGAGTCTGTGGAGACAAAGAACTTTGTCCTTGGAGGCAAAGAGGGGAATGTATGAGAGTATAGTTTTACCAACGCTCTTATATGGGTGTGAAGCGTGGGTGATGAATGTTGCAGCGAGGAGAAGGCTGGAGGCAGTGGAGATGTCATGTCTGAGGGCAATGTGTGGTGTGAATATAATGCAGAGAATTCGTAGTTTGGAAGTTAGGAGGAGGTGCGGGATTACCAAAACTGTTGTCCAGAGGGCTGAGGAAGGGTTGTTGAGGTGGTTCGGACATGTAGAGAGAATGGAGCGAAACAGAATGACTTCAAGAGTGTATCAGTCTGTAGTGGAAGGAAGGCGGGGTAGGGGTCGGCCTAGGAAGGGTTGGAGGGAGGGGGTAAAGGAGGTTTTGTGTGCGAGGGGCTTGGACTTCCAGCAGGCATGCGTGAGCGTGTTTGATAGGAGTGAATGGAGACAAATGGTTTTTAATACTTGACGTGCTGTTGGAGTGTGAGCAAAGTAACATTTATGAAGGGATTCAGGGAAACCGGCAGGCCGGACTTGAGTCCTGGAGATGGGAAGTACAGTGCCTGCACTCTGAAGGAGGGGTGTTAATGTTGCAGTTTAAAAACTGTAGTGTAAAGCACCCTTCTGGCAAGACAGTGATGGAGTGAATGATGGTGAAAGTTTTTCTTTTTCGGGCCACCCTGCCTTGGTGGGAATCGGCCGGTGTGATAATAAAAAAAAAATAATAAAAGAACTAGAAAGAAAATAGAAGAAAACCCAGAGGGGTGTGTGTATATATATATGCTTGTACTACACATCTTCTTCTTTCAACACACCGGCCGTATCCCACCGAGGCAGGGTGGCCCAAAAGAAAAAACCAAAGTTTCTCCTTTCAAATTTAGTAATATATACAGGAGAAGGGGTTACTAGCCCCTTGCTCTGTACTACACATATGTGTATGTATATGTTGTAGTAGTAGGTTGGTAGACAGCAACCACCCAGGGGGGGTACTACCGTCCTGCCAAGTGAGTGTGAAACGAAAGCCTGTAATTGTTTTACATGATGGTAGGATTGCTAGTGTCTTTTGTCTGTCTCATAAATATGCAAGATTATAGGTACGTCTTGCTACTTCTACTTACACTTAGTTCACACTACACATACATGTACACGTTTATTTATACACACTCATCTGAGCTTTCTTTGATTTTATCTTAATAGTTCTTGGTCTTATTATTTTTCCTTTTATATCCATGGGTAAGTGGAATAAGAATCTTTCCTCCATAAGCCATGTGTGTTGTAAAAGTCAATTAAAATGCCGGGAACAATGGGCTAGTAACCCCTTTTCCTGTAATAATTACTAAAAAGAATAAGAAGAAGAAAATTGTCAAAGTGGGAAGTCTGAATGTTCGTGGATGTTGTGCAAATGATAAGAAAGAGATGATTGTGGATGTTATGAATGAGAAGAAGCTGGATGTCCTGGCTTTAAGTGAAACAAAGCTGAAGGGGGTGGGAGAGTTTCAGTGGAGAGGAATAAATGGGATTAGGTCAGGGGTTTCAAATAGAGTTAGAGCTAAAGAAGGAGTAGCAATAATGTTGAAGGATAAGTTATGGCAGGAAAAGAGGGACCCTAAATGTATTAATTCAAGGATTATGTGGAGTAAAATAAAGGATTTGAAAAGTGGGTTATAGTAAGCGTTTATGCACCTGGAGAAGAGAGAAGTGTAGAGGAGAGAGAGAGATTTTGGGAAATGTTGAGTGAATGCATGGGGAGTTTTGAACCAAGTGTGAGAGTAATGGTGGTTGGGGATTTTGATGCTAAAGTGGGCAAAAATGTTGTGGAGGGAGTAGTAGGTAAATATTTGGGAGTCGACTTGTCAGTGGATGGGTTTATGAAGGATGAGGTTAACCATAGAATTGATGGAGTAAAAAAGTGAGTGGTGTGTTGAGGTATCTGTGGAGACAAAGAACATTATCAGTGGAGGCAAAGAAGGGAATGTACGAGAGTGTAGTGGTACCAACACCCTCATATGGGTGTGAAGTATGAGTTGTAAGTGCTGCAGCGAGGAGGCAGCTGGAATCAGTGATGTGTCTAAGGGCAGTGTGTGGTGTAAATATTATGCAGAGAATTTATAGTGTGGAAATTAGAAGGAGGTGTGGAGTTATTAAAAGTATTAGAGGGCTTAAGAAGGGCTGTTGAGGTGGTTTAGTTATTTAGAGAGAATGGAACAAAGTAGAATGACTTGGAGAGCATATAAATCTGTAGGGAAAGGAAGGCGGGGTATGGGTCATCCCAGAAAAGGTTGGAGGGAGGGGGTAAAGGAGGTTTTGTGGGCGAGGGGCTTGGAGCTCCAGCAAGCGTGCATTAGCATGTTAGATAGGAGTGAATGAGACGATTGGTTTTTGGGACCTGACGAGCTGTTGGAGTGTGAGCAGGGTAATATTTTGTGAAGGGATTCAGGGAAACTGGTTAGCCAGACTTGAGTCCTGGAAATGAGAAGTACAATGCCTGCACTTTAATGGAGGGGTTTGGGATATTGGTAATTTGGAGGGACGTCTAAGCTGTCGTATCTGAGTGCTTCTGCAAAGACAGTGATTATGTATGAGTGATGGTGAAAGTGTTGAATGACGATGAAAGTTTTTTCTTTCATTTTGGGTCACCCTGCCTTGGTGGGAAGTGGCCAACGTGTTAAAAAAAAAATTATAAACTTACAGCAGTAACTTTGAACACCTTTCACTTAATGTCTGGAGGTCCTCCAGCTGGCAGGGGCCATTGGGTTGCAGCCTCTAAATCCCATCCCTTAATCTGGCCCTGAGTGGAGGGAAAGGCAGAGTAGGGGTCATCCTAGGAAAAGGATAGAGAGAGGGAGTAAAGGACAGGCGTGTGTGAGCATGTTAGATAGGGGTGAATGGAGACGAATGGTTTTTGGGACTTAATGAGCTTTTGGAGTGTGAGCAGGGTAATATTTTGTGAAGGGATTCAGGAAAACCAGTTTGCCAGACTTGAGTCCTGGAGGTGGGAAGTACAGTGCCTGCACTCTAAAGGGTGGAGTTTGGGATATGTGCTGTATAGAGTGACATCTAATCTGTCATAACTGTGCATCCCTGGCAAGACAGTAATAGTGTGAATGATAATGAAAGTGTTTCTTTTTTGGGTCACCCTGCTTTGGTGGGAGATACCAGTGTGTAATATTTAGTGAAGGGATTCAGGGAAACCGGTTATTTTTATATAGCCTGACTTGAATCCTGGAAATGGGAAGTACAATGCATACACTTTATAGGAGGGGTTTGGGGTATTGGCAGTTTGGAGGGACATGTTGTGTATCTTTATACGTATATGCTTCTAAACTGTTGTATTCTGAGCACCTCTGCAAAAACAGTGATTATGTGTGAGTGAGGTGAAAGTGTTGAATGATGATGAAAGTATTTCCTTTTTGGGGATTTTCTTTCTTTTTGGGTCACCCTGCTTCGGTAGGAGACGATCGACTTGTTAAAAAATAATAATAATAATAATAATAATATAATAGTCGTCATCCCTCTATAACAGTCAGCTTTGATGGACATCTCCTTTCCCTTATTACTGGGTTAAATCGAGGGTTCAGTACCCTAACACTGCAGTGACAATGAATGGTTGTAAATATCATGCACTTTATATTTTATGTATAGGGAATGCATGGATCAAAGGAATGAAATCCCATATTTTTTAGAAACATTTATTTCAGATATACCTTCTTGCAGCACCTCCAAGCAAGTGGGTAACTACAGTTTTCCGGGTGCACCTAAACTTTCTGAATGGAGCAGTTCTCGCTCTTCTCTTTCCTGTCACCAATTCAAGACTTGTAAGCATTAATTATTTTTACCTCTAATTAATTTGGAAACATTGCTCATTTTCCCTTGAAGATAAAAGTCATTAAATAAGCTTCTGCAGTTTTATTCCGAGTCTGGCAGAGTAATGCGTACTATCACTTATCCCAGTTGAAGCACCTAATTGGCATGTTTTAATATCCCCTGCATCTATGAATTTGTACTGTTTGTTACTCTTTCTAATAATAGTACTGAGCAAATAGATTTCAAAGTTATGTTGCTATAAACTCTTATTCGCACTGAAGAACAAGACAGTTATTTTATTCTTTTTTTATTTGGCTATCATTATATTCTCATGATTAATTATAAAGCATCTCCTTCAATACCCTTTGGGATGATTGCTTTGATCATTTATAGATTAATACTTGCTACTAGAATTTACTTTTTATTCAAAATTATTTTGGTATCACTTGATGATACCTTAATGAGAAGCTTGCTCATGCGACAAGGAAGCCAAGCTATTGCATGCCTTCAGTGTCAGAGTTCCATGAGTTCCTCACCAGTTCTCATCACTGATTACTTCTATTTTTATGGATAAGCTTATAGTTTTTCAGTAGTAAGTAGAATTTTTTTTTAACTTCATATATTACTGGATTTGGTATCTTTCAATCTAGTAATGATGATGTTTCTGCTAGGATAAACCGTGGAACTGCAGAAAAAATTATATTATTCATTAAACGGTGATCAGGTGTGGGAATTGATAAGGATCTGTGGAATACGACCTGAGAAGTTGGTGGCCCCACAGGCTTTTGATCAGTTGACTGTGCTATAATGTACATACTTTCAGCTTCCGTTTGAGGTGGAGATATACTGGGTGCAGCATATAATGATGCTTGTTACGCCGTACTACCTTCTGCGGCTTGGTGGTAAGTTCTTTGTTGGGGATCCTAAAATTTGTCGTTAAACTGTAAATGGTTATCTTACTGCAATAAAATCCCTCATTAATACACAGTATTGTCATTGAGAAAGATATTTTTGTTATTATGTTTGCAATGATTATTGCCTTTTGTAAGAAGTTTGCACTAGGTATCTCCTGTGAATATACTTTGTGGCACTACTGGGCAATTTTTACTGTAATATTGTTCTGAAGGTGGTTGTAATATTGTTTATATACAATAATTATTAGAGGGGGGGAAAGTCTTTATATATTTATTCCTGAGAAATACTGGTGAATATTTTATTTCCAGGTATGACACTGATTGGCTCTTTCATTATATTTATGATGAAGTATTAGTTTCTGTATATAATTTTCGTCAATGTTACAATATTTTGTTATTAACTGTACAGATCATAACATTTTCATCAATGTTACGATAGTATGCCATTAAAGGTACACAACATACCAACTTAACAATTAACAGCTTCTTACATTATACTTTATAACTATCTAGGATTGTAGTTTAAATATTTTACATTGCTTGTAGAATATAGCATACATAGTTTAGCTTATTGTTAATTTAATTCTTTTCTTAATAGAAGTTTGACTGGCCACAAAAGTAACTAAAAGCAAGGTGGGTGTTAGACTGAGCTGATGTGCCTTATGTGTTGAGCATAATGATGTAACTGTTTTCATTGTGATGTGATGCAACTTAACATTCACCTTTCTCTTTGTGTCCAAGCCATTATCTTAGGCATTAATTAGCAGTGACTCTAACTATATTTATCAAGCTATTTCCCTTATATTATTTGTTCCCTTAAATCCTGACAGTGTTGCACACTACTAAAATTCATTTGTGTGCCTCCCCATTCTTTCTCTTGTTTGTCTTTATCTTTTCCCTTGTCTTTCTTGATATTTTCTCTTCTCTTTCTTAATCTTTTCCCTTGTCCTTCTTGATCTTTTCTCTTGTCTTTCTTGATCCTTTCTTTTGTCTTTCTTAATCTTTTCCCTTGTCTTTCTTGATCTTTTCTCTTGTCTTTCTTGATCCTTTCTTTTGTCTTTCTTAATCTTTTCCCTTGTCTTTCTTGATCTTTTCTCTTGTCTTTCTTGATCCTTTCTCTTGTCTTTCTTGATCTTTTCCCTTGTCTTTCTTGATCCTTCCTCTTGTCTTTCTTGATCTTTTCCCTTGTCTTTCTTTATCTTTTCTCTTATCTTTCTTGATCTTTTCCTTTCTTACATTGTCTCCATTTCATACATTATTCCTGTTTATTTATGCTCTTCATTAATAACAGTTTGCCTAACACTGGCAACATTAACATAATTAGGCTTTCCATTGGCTAGATAAAAACAGGAATGAGTTACAGTGGAACCTCAAAAATCGAACGTATTACATATCGAATCTTTCGAAAATAGAACCATTTTTTCGGACAAACTGTGTCCCTATTATCGAACGTGCCCCTATTTTCGGACCGCCGGGTACGGGACCTGTCTGCCGCCCGCTCTGTCCGCGTCCCCACGCAGGCGCCGTGAGCAGTCTAGCTCTGTTTATGCTTGAGTGAACACTAACCTGTGCTCTCATTCACGCATTTTACGATTATTTCGTTGTGTTCAGTGCTTGTGGGACTGTGAAATAAGCTGCCATGGGTCCAAAGAAACTTGCTAATGGTACCCCTGTGGTAAAGAAAGTGAGAAACACCATAGATGTGAAGAAGGAAATAATACAGAAGTATGAGAGTGGTGTGAGACTTGTTGAGCTTGCCAGGATGTATGGGAAAAGCAAGTCGACCATTGGTTCTATCCTATCAAAGAAAGAACAAATCAAGGAAGCTGATGTTGTGAAAGGTGTTAATATGCTAACCAAAAAAAGACCACAAATAGTTGAAGAGGTTGAGAAGTTGTTGCTGGTGTGGATCAAGGATAAAGAGATTGCAGATGATAGTGTTTCAGAGACAATTATTTGCGAAAAGGCAAGGAAGTTGCATGCCAACCTGGCACAGAAAACTCCTGGAACCAGTGCTGATAGTGAATTTAAGGCCAGCAGAGGCTGGTTTGACAGATTTAAGAAGTGTAGTGGCATACACAATGTTGTAAGACATGGTGAGGCAGCCAGTTCAGACAAACGGGCGGCAGAGAAGTTTGTACAGGAGTTTAAGGGGTACATAGACAGTGAAAAATTGAAACCTGAACAAGTGTTTAATTGTGACGAAACAGGCTTGTTTTGGAAGAAAATGCCCAAAAGGACCTTCATCACACAGGAGGAAAAGGCACTGCCGGGACACAAGCCTATGAAAGACAGGCTTACTCTTTTGTTCTGTGGTAATGCTAGTGGTGATTTTAAAGTGAAGCCTTTACTTGTGTATCATTCAGAAAATCCCAGAGTGTTTAAGAAAAACAATGTTTTTAAGAACAAGTTATGTGTCTTGTGGAAAGCTAATCATAAGGCATGGGTCACAAGACAAATTTTCAAAGAGTGGGTCCATGAAGTGTTTGGCCCCAGTCCTAGTGGCATTAAAAGACAGAGAAGGGAAGTAACCCCAGAGAGGGCTTTACCTGAAGTCCTCATGGAGGGGGATTCTCCTTCCAAACACTAATCCCAACTCTCTCTCTCCTCCTCCCTATCTTCCAGATGCCATCACCAATCTTCAATAAAGGTAAGTAAAAATGTTATTTTATATGTATTACTATACATATTTAAAAGCCATAGTATTTGTTGTATGTAAAACTGTAATTAATCTCTATAAAATGTATTTTTTGTGTGAATATTTTTGGGTTTCTGGAACGGATTAATTGTATTTCCATTATTTCTTATGGGAAATATTGCTTCGAATTTCAGACTTTTCGAATTTAGAACTAGCTCCTGGAATGGATTAAGTTCGATTTTTGAGGTTCCACTGTACAGCAATTAATCTGTATAGGCCAGGGGTGCTGTATTTTTGACTAATATACTGTAGCAATTTTAAGGAGAATAAGCGAGATCTCAGTATTTGGTCACTGTTCATTTTCTCGATGCCTTTGCTTAAGTAGCTTACCGCTATTGCGCACAGTATGCATGCCTTGCAAGTCTTGTACCATCCCTAGAGCACCCTTGCCGGTAACAGTAATCACAATGCTCAGGCATCAAATTTTTCCACCTGTAGCTAGCAAGTGAAACATCTTTTAAGTGGTACACTGTTACTGAATTTGTTGATATTCTAATAGCCTAAGTCATTGTCAATTAAAGCTACAAAAAATATGAACATTATTCAGTTTTACTAGATACTGTAGTTTCTTATTGTAGAGAATATGATTATTGTTTTCTTTTAGTATTGTTTTCCTAGCTTGTATGCAATTGATAGGTGCCCATGTTGATCTAAGGATAGCCTGTTGTGAGGAGTGACTTTATCTTTTAGTTTTGAATTATTATTTAACTTGTAATTTTCATTTAGAAGTGATATATTTGAACAGACATTTTCCCACAGGTGTGTACACAGTAGAGAGCCCCAGAGATATGACTTGGACCATCATGTCTTTGGGCATCCTTCTTATTTATCACTTCCTGCCACTTCAGATTATTGGCATGGTAAGGATGGAGCAAATAATGGTAATTGTAGTTGTCATGACTTATTTGTGGTCACATCATTACATCTTCATAGTTGAGGATCTTAAGTGAGTGACAGGGTTCTCCAGATTGTGTAAATGCTTTTATAAAGGTTAACAAGGGATACGGCTGGTTTGTTGAAAAAACAAAAAAAAAAAAAAGGGTATGTACATACATTTGCATTTTCAAAATGAGTTACTATAGGTTTCACTGAATTAATGACAGAGAAGAACTGTTTGTGTCTAACATATAACCCTTCCAGTATGAATAATTTTTTTTTTTTTCAACAAGTCGGCCGTCTCCCACCGAGGCAGGGTGACCCAAAAAAGAAAGAAAATCCCCAAAAAGAAAATACTTTCATCATCATTCAACACTTTCACCACACTCACACATTATCACTGCTTTTGCAGAGGTGCTAAGACTACAACAGTTTAGAAGCATATACGTATAAAGATACACAACATATCCCTCCAAACTGCCAATATCCCATACCCCTCCTTTAAAGTGCAGGCATTGTACTTCCCATTTCCAGGACTCAAGTCCGATTATATGAAAATAACCGGTTTCCCTGAATTCCTTCACTAAATATTACCCTGCTCACACTCCAACAGATCGTCAGGTCCCAAGTATCATCCGTCTCCATTCACTCCTATCTAACACGCTCATGCACGCTTGCTGGAAGTCCAAGCCCCTCGCCCACAAAACCTCCTTTACCCCCTCTTTCCAACCCTTTCGAGGACGACCCCTACCCCTCTTTCCTTCCCCTATAGATTTATATGCTTTCCATGTCATTCTACTTTGATCCATTCTCTCTAAATGACCAAACCACCTCAACAACCCCTCTTCTGCCCTCTGACTAATGCTTTTATTAACTCCACACCTCCTAATTTCCACACTCCAAATTTTCTGCATAATATTTACACCACACATTGCCCTTAGACAGGACACCTCCACTGCCTCCAACCGTCTCCTTGCTGCTGCATTTACCACCCAAGCTTCACATCCATATAAGAGTGTTGGTATTACTATACTTTCATACATTCCCTTCTTTGCCTCCATAGATAACGTTTTTTGACTCCATATATACCTCAACGCACCACTCACCTTATTTCCCTCATCAATTCTATGATTAACCTCATCCTTCATAAATCCATCCGCCGACACGTCAACTCCCAAGTATCTGAAAACATTCACTTCTTCCATACTCCTCCTCCCCAATTTGATATCCAATTTTTCTTTATCTAAATCATTTGATACCCTCATCACCTTACTCTTTTCTATGTTCACTTCCAACTTTCTACCTTTACACACACTCCCAAACTCATCCACTAACCTTTGCAATTTTTCTTTAGAATCTCCCATAAGCACAGTATCATCAGCAAAAAGTAACTGTGTCAATTCCCATTTTGAATTTGATTCCCCATAATTTAATCCCACCCCTCTCCCGAACACCCTAGCATTTACTTCTTTTACAACCCCATCTATAAATATATTAAACAACCATGGTGACATTACACATCCCTGTCTAAGACCTTTTTACTGGGAAGTATTCTCCCTCTCTTCTACACACCCTAACCTGAGCCTCACTATCCTCATAAAAGCTCTTTACAGCATTTAGTAACTTACCACCTATTCCATATACTTGCAACATCTGCCACATTGCTCCTCTATCCACTCTATCATATGCCTTTTCTAAATCCATAAAGGCAATAAAAACTTCCCTACCTTTATCTAAATACTGTTCACATATATGCTTCAATGTAAACACTTGATCTACACATCCCCTACCCACTCTGAAGCCTCCTTGCTCATCCGCAATCCTATATTCTGTCTTACCTCTAATTCTTTCAATTATAACCCTACCGTATACTTTTCCTGGTATACTCAGTAAACTTATTCCTCTATAATTATTACAGTCTCTTTTGTCCCCCTTCCCTTTATATAAAGGAACTATACATGCTCTCTGCCAATCCCTAGGTACCTTCCCCTCTTTCATACATTTATTAAACAAAAGTACCAACCACACCAACACTATAATTCCCCCTGCTTTTAACATTTCTGTCATGATCCCATCAGTTCCAGCTGCTTTACCCCCTTTCATTCTACGTAATGCCTCACGTACCTCCCCCACACTTACATTCTGCTCTTCTTCACTCCTAAAAGATGGTATACCTCCCTGGCCAGTGCATGAAATTACCGCCTCCCTTTCTTCCTCAACATTTAAAAGTTCCTCAAAATATTCTCGCCATCTACCTACTGCCTCCCTCTCCCCATCTACTAACTCCCTTACTCTGTTTTTAACTGACAAATCCATACTTTCCCTAGGCTTTCTTAACTTGTTTAACTCACTCCAAAATTTTTTCTTATTTTCATTAAAATTTCTTGACAGTGCCTCTCCCACTCTTTCATCTGCTCTCCTTTTGCACTCTCTCACCACTCTCTTCACCTTTCTTTTACTCTCCATATACTCTGCTCTTCTTATAACACTTCTGCTTTGTAAAAACCTCTCGTAAGCTACCTTTTTCTCTTTTATCACACCCTTTACTTCATCATTCCACCAATCACTCCTCTTTCCTCCTGCCCCCACCCTCCTATAACCACAAACTTCTGCCCACATTCTAATACTGCATTTTTAAAACTATTCCAACCCTCTTCAACCCCCCCACTACTCATCTTTGCACTAGCCCACCTTTCTGCCAATAGTCGCTTATATCTCGCCCGAACTTCCTCCTCCCTTAGTTTATACACTTTCACCTCCCTCTTACTTGTTGTTGCCACCTTCCTCTTTTCCCATCTACCTCTTACTCTAACTGTAGCTACAACTAAATAATGATCCGATATATCAGTTGCCCCTCTATAAACATGTACATCCTGGAGCCTACCCATAAATCTTTTATCCACCAATACATAATCTAACAAACTACTTTCATTACGTGCTACATCATACCTTGTATATTTATTTATCCTCTTTTTCATAAAATATGTATTACTTATTACCAAATTTCTTTCTACACATAGCTCAATTAAAGGCTCCCCATGAATCATATTAACTTATATTTCCTTCAACTCTTATTTTGTTATTCCTACATGATGTCAAAAGGCAGCCTGATTTAAAAAGGTCATATAGTCTTTGTTTTTGTTTTTTTGACCTTTATTTTTACACTTCAAAAGTTTTCATCGGTGATGTGTTTGCTCAAAGAAGCTTATTCAGCAGTTGTTTATTGTTCATACAAACATTTAAACAGTTGTTTTATAAACATTTAAACAGTTGTTTATAAACATTTAAACAGTTGTTGTTTTTCAACGCACTGGCCATATCCCACCAAGGCGGGGTGACCCAAAAAGAAAAATGAAAGTTTCCCATTTAGTAATATATACAGGAGAAGGGGTTACTAGCCCTTTGCTCCCAGCATTGTTATAAACCTTTAAACAGTTTTATAAATATAAACATTGTTTTATAAACATTTAAACAGTTTTATAAATATTTAAATAGTTGTTTTATTAATATTTAAACAGTTTTTGTAAACACTTAAACAGTTGTTTTATTAACATTGTCTTTGCAGGCTTCTCAGGTGAATTTAAACAACATGCTGTGCCCAGCCATAAGTGATCCTTTCTATGGCCCAAATTACCGGATTGCGGCCATGTTTCATCAGTCATTATGTGTTCCTCTTGTCAGCAAGACCTTCTGCGTTGTTGCAAACTTTTTCATAACCAAATTTCCCCCCACAAAGGTAAGTATAACGAGAAAACATCAAAACTATTTTTTTTTTATTCCACAATTTGTAACAACAGGTGGCTATATCTTACATATCAAAAACTCTAAGTGTATTTGTAAGTGTTTCTGTTTTGCAGTGACAGTATTTCTGTTCCTTCTTGCAACATTTTAGCAATTTGTCATGAAAGTGAAATTGAGGTGGGAAACACAGTGCCTGCACTCTAAAAGGAGGGAAGGTGTTGCAGTTGAGAGAGCTGTCTGACCTGTGATGGCAGGATACTTCTCAGTGATTGAATGAATTGATAGTGAATGTTTTTCTTGGTTACCCTTCCTCAGTGGGAGATAGCTGGTATGTTAAAAAATAAAACAGTAAAATTAATAACATGGTTTCTTGGGATAAACACCAGTGCTATACTACAAATTAGGTTGTGAGGTCACATTATAAAAGGGGTTTGCTATACATTATCACTGCACACATATACACACATGCATATACACATGCTCAAGGCCAGGAGCTATGAATCTACCCCTGCAGCCACAAATAGGTGAGTATGCACATGCACACACACGTGCACAGATGCATTGAGTGCTGTATATTGCATTTGCACTTGCTAGTTTGGAGGCACTAGGGTTTATGCATAGCTGAAAGAACATCATTTACAGGTGATAGGAATGGCAGTATCAATGAACTTGGTATGTACATTTTTTGAAAAGCATATGGCAGTGCATCCTCCTCCTTGGCCTTGTCTGTCTTGTCACATTTATGAAGTGTAGCCAGCAATTCTAGCAAAATTTTCTGGGGTCCTGTTGTCCAAAAATGTCTCAGCAATGGCAATCATATCAGGACAGTGAATTTCCATTAAACTGTGCGTGACCTCCCCATCATTGGTAATGAAGCCCATAATGTTGGCAGAGAGGATGCTGATAGACTTGATCCTTATGTTTGTGTTCAGCTTGACTAAATAGGTATGTAAGGTGTGTGCCCTTGAAACAGGTAGTACACTAGGACAGCCACTGGAGCATAGCTCTCTAGTCGTGTATAAGACACAAAACCACCTGCTGAGCTGGGCTAGAAGTAGCTAGGTGGGTGATGTGTAAAAGTGTTCATCAGTTCTGCAATCCTACTCATTTGTTCTGAGAATGAATCTAAATAGCTGGTGATCCTGTCTGTCTATTTCCTTTTTGCTTCAACAGTGGTCTTCATGATGTCACCTCTCATGACAGTAATTGCACCTAATATCTTGCAGACAATTGTCAGCGGTATACGCCCTTCAGTGGCAACAGGAACATGGCTAGATGCCTGGGAGGGTGGTCTTCTATTTCCTGCTACTCTTGTGTTTTGCTGCTGATTCATCAGCTGATTCCTCTGTTGGTTCTGCTGCTGATGAGCCTGATGATTATGTGCCTGGTGGGCACTCTCCTCGGGCTGTGTTAGTATAAGACGAGAAGGCTGTGGTTAGCTACCTCTTTTTCCACAACCTCCTCCACATCCTTTTCCACACCCTCATTCAGCCCTACCAGATATATATCTGCTGTTCATGCTTTGGCCTGGGTATTATTCAGGTACAATGTCAGTCAGCTGATTGTTAGCCACAGCAGTCAGGGTTGGCAGATGGAGCATTGTTGCCAGGTGTACCAGTTGGTATTGGAATAGTGATGTCAGGTGTACTGTTAGGTGTAGCAGTGGAGCCAACAGATTCAAGGTTTACTTCATTTATGGGTGACAGATCTGTTCCCAATGTGGTGGCCAGAGAAGTTGTAGTGGAATTTTCAGGTATGGTGTTTCAAGCCCTGTCTGCTGGAAGAGCTCTAGTGCTAGCAAATTTCCACCAGTATTTTGCTGTTGTGTTAATATCAGTGTGAGAATTCCAGGCCTTCTTGATAGTATCAAGAGCAGCAGAGAATCCTATGTCATTTGATGTAGGCCTGTTCTGGTTATCTACAGTAGTTTAAAAACAGTCTAATGATTTTAGGAGCTCATGCAACAGTTACTTTTGTTGGAATATCCTGGCTGCAACCTTGTAACATAGCCCAGTAGCACTGTGTTGATTATTTGAGTGGTGTTCCTGAGCCTTTTCTAATCCTTCCTTTTGTGACATAAAGCTCATTTCTGGTACATATGTCACAGGTTCATGGATGTCTTTGAAACTTCTGAGATGTGTCATCTGGCTACAATAGAGGCCTACCTTGCATGCTATATGATAGTAATTGGAACATGGGGGCTTCAGGCATTTAAAAATATGTCTGGCCTCTGCATATGTATGTGTGTGTGTATTTAATTATTTAAATATTACAGTGTCATTTGTGTTGAAATCTATTGTTTATTTTGTCTATTTTGCAGGTAAAGGATAATCTTGAAACTGACGTGACTATGAGTGCGTATGATCAACGAATAATGAGTCAAGAAGCATCAAGCAAGCAGGATGATAGTTCGAATAACCAAAATGGACTGAAGCACCATGCGAGCATACACAGACGGTCCCGCAGTGAGGCTGTGACAGTCTCTCAGTGGAATGGTCATAGCCATCAAGAGTCAGGTCATTAGTAAAATTGTTCTTCAAATGGTAATGCAGTGGGTTCTTCAACTTATGACAGCCTGAATTACAAACATCTGCACTTGTGAATGGGGGGCTTAGGAACCAATAAAAGTTTTATGAATGCCACTCTGCATTTGCAGACATCCACACTTACAAATGGGGAACTGAAGAACCAAATAGTTTTATGGATGGTGATCTACAGTTATGAACAGGTGAAACATAACCATCCTTTATACCGTTGTTGTCTATTGGAAAACAGGTTCTAAGTTATAAATAACTTATTTGTTAGTTGTAAAAGCAGGAATACAACTTGTTCATAATCTGGGGAACCCATGGTACTGTCATAGATAAGAAGATGGTCATGGTGGCAGTCATCAGTAATGATGGTCATGTATGATCAAAGAAGTTGGTAATGAATGTCATTGCTAAGTTAAAAATATCAGTCAGATTGCTTTTCTTAGAATTACAATGTACAGTAGGTCCCTGACTTACAATGTTTTGATTCACGACGTTGCCCTTTTATAATATTGGCCCTTTGAGGTAAAATACTTACGAGCACAGACTCACTTTCGATATACAGTACTACACTTATGATTTATTTCCAGGTAAATTATAATTTTTTTTTCTTGTTTATTTACTAAGTGCATTCATACTTTGGTCTTTTTTTTTTATGTATGTAGAAAGAGCTCATGTTAGTTGACATTGATTAGTAACCATATATTTAATATTTCCTAAGGATGAATTGTAAATACATACATATATTTTTTCTCAGCTTTTTACTAAATGCATTCATACTTTGTGTATGTTCATTTTTATGCATATGCAGAGAAGTCACATTTGTCTAGTTGAGATTGGTCAACAACTACAAATTTAATATTTATGATTTTCTTAAGGATGAATTATAAATATTTCTTGTTAGTTTTTACCAAATTCATCCCAGTTGACAGTATTTGCTAAAACACACACTAATTGACAATATAAAAAATTAAAAAATTGTGTTTGTTACCATTTAAAAACTAAAACTATGGAAAATAAATTTACCCTAAAATAGTTTAAAAAATCATAAAATATAAGCTATATACAATTCTGATATCCTTTACTTGCCACTTTCTATACCTATGTGTTATACACATTATAGAGGTATTCCAAATTCAGTCATGTAATCCTATACATACAGTAAGTACAATTTTACAGGTGAGTATCTATCATGAAACTGTGTAACTAACTGTATTAACATTGGTAGAATTACCAGCAATATGTTAAGTAGAAGGAGATTTGTCAAGCTGTTACAAACAATACATGGACACAGGGTATATATAGACCTAGGGTATAAGGCACAATATAATCGTTGTAGAAGTAGTAGTAGTTATAATACTAGTGGTAGTAGTAATACATGTGGATACTAGAGCTTATTGCTTGGGTAGCATTAAAAAGGGTTGGGAAAATATTTTTGTTAGGTTGGATTTGAGAAGCCCTGTTGCAGTGTTCCTCCTCTCTTGTGTTCTCAGTGTTCTTATGTAGTATCAGCAGCAGCAACTATGTGATGGCAGGGTTCATTGTTTTGAGGATAGTTGCTGCTGCTGATACTACATAATTATGAACACAAAAGAGGAGGAACACTGCAACAGGACTTTTCAAATCCAACCTACTAACAAAAATATTTGCCCAACCCATCTTAACCCTTTAAGGGTCCAAAGGCCAAATCTCAGAGTGACAGCCAGGGTAGAGAATCTTTTTCCGAAGGTAATTGTTACAAAACTCGTCTTCTTAACCTTCTCCAATGGTATGGTAGAGTGTTAAGGTAGCATTCTTGTTGAACATATGGCCTGTTTACGGTTTTGCAACAATAACTTAGTAAGAATTCAGGATTACAAAACAAATAACTAAAACTTAAAATATTTACTAGTAGAGTTTTAGCTTAATGTATGATATGTTATGATTAACATAAAATAAGGAGTTTAACTCTTACATTTCTCTTGATACGTACTAGTACATTGATATGAATAAATGAACCTCTTGAGGTTGAGCTTTGTACTAAAATCACCAATAATATGCACCTATAAGAGTTATTAAGACCTAGCCACAAAGTAACTTACAATGCTTATAAAGACTTATCTGAACTATCAATTCAGAGTATACAAGAACTCGTAAGTGACGGACTTAGTCTCATTTCCATCCAACATGACTAAGAATAGCTTAGACCACAAATTAACCCACAAGGCCAACAAGGCTTGTCCATTCAACTGAAAGATTAATTCTCTAGAGTATAAATAACTCGAAAGTGACAAGCTTAAGAAAGGAAGTCGGTCATGAAAGAAAAACGACCACCACAGAAAACTTTACATGTCTCTTATGAGAGGTCAATGAGTGAGGTATGCTCCCTTGGCTATGCAAGCCCAGACTAGAAGTGGGAATGCTAGTCAGAGTGTGTGTGAAGGACCTGCTCTCAGCTAGTGCTGAAAAGCTACTCAGAGCAAGGGTGGTGAACCTACTCTGAGCGAGGGCTAAGAACCTACTCAGTAAGAGTAGAGAACCTGCTCTGAGCGAGGGCGGTGAACCTACTCAGTAAGAGTAGTGAACCTGCTCTGAGCGAGGGCGGTGAACCTACTCAGTAAGAGTAGTGAACCTACTCAGAGCAAGGGCTGAGAACCTACTCAGTAAGAGTAGTGAACCTGCTCTGAGCGAGGGCTGTGAACCTACTCAGTAAGAGTAGTGAACCTCTCTGAGCGAGGGCTGTGAACCTACTCAGTAAGAGTAGTGAACCTCTCTGAGCGAGGGCTGAGAACCTACTCAGTAAGAGTAGTGAACCTGCTCTGAGCGAGGGCTGAGAACCTACTGCCGGTACCACTGAGTGGTAAGGCAACGTCACGTTGGTCACGTGACTGAGGGAGACTTAAGTACCTGAAGTGCTAACCGGCACTTACACTAGTGGTTTCCCACTACATGACAATATTAAGAACTGCTAACAAAACATAATATAATACAATATTAGCATTAGCATATATATTATAAAATAAAGGAGCAAATCCTTGTATAAAATATAACGGGTATGGCCATACTCGTAACAGTAATAAAGCAAAAAGTACGAAATTTGATGGAAAATTGATGAAATTACGCTTTCGCGGATTTTGATGCATCAGCAATATTTACGCATCAGCGATTTTGCCGACTTTGACTCCCATTTTAGGCCAATTACATTATTCCAGTCGACCAAATTCTTAGCTATTTTGTTAGTATTACTTCTGTTTTATCGATTGAGCACAAGAAATAGCCCAGTCAACTGTTTCAACTACCCAATAAAGTGATCGGAAATTGGTAATTTGGCCAGTTTAACACGAAGTTCAAAATATTTCAATTTCAAAATAGGGTCCAGAATAAGCAATGCAGGCATTCCTGGCACTAAACTAACATTTCCTCTGTTCATTAGTTATGTTTCAGGCTTTACAAATGAATTCCACTTTGACTTTTTATTCACATAATGAATTTTTATTCACACCAAAAAATGGAAGATTTAATGTTTTGCAATATTGTAATAATTGTATAAATAATATCACCACATTTGTGAATGTATATTAGACCCAACAGCTGATGCATATTAGACGCATGACATCATTTGTTTACTCTTGAACATTGGCAAAATTTGAACATTTCCGCTACTTTGAGCGTAGTTTCAACCCATTTTCGTTACTAAAACCAATCAGAATCATCTCTATTTATGTAATATATCTTCCATTCTATCAAATGAGACCAAGAAATCGTGAATACAACTGTAAAAAACATTTGAAAAAACACTGAAAATTTGCTGTTTTAATCCAAAATTACAGTCACAGCTTTTTTCTCTCATTATGCACTGCGTGTTGCAGGATTTGCTTAATGTGGTGCACACTTACCACACAGATGTATTCTCTCATATCTAGGCCCAAATTTACCACTCACAGCTTATTTGAGTGAGCTGAGCTCATGGCATAGATCTACGGCTTGGACCCTGGCTTCAAAGCCATAGATCTACGGGACGGACCCTGAAAGGGTTAATGCTACCCAAACAATAAGCTGTAACAACCACATGTACTACTACTATTACTACTACTACTATTACTACTACTGCTGCTGCTGCTGCTGCCGCCGCCACTACTACTACTACTACTACTACTAGTATTACAAATGCTACTTCTTCTACAATGATTATATTGTGCCTTACACCTCACTCTAAAGCCTATATATACCCTCCGTGTCCATGTATTCTTTGTAACGGCTTGACAAAGTTCCTGGAAAGCAAAAAGTTGCCACAATAAAATGTTGCATTAGTTGCACTTGTGTCCTTTTACTTAACGTAGTGTAACTAATGTCTAAAATTCACAAATAATATATAGTATTTTTAAATAAAAAATACATAAATGCACAAATCATTACCTCATGAAAGTGATGACATTGGTGCCAATTTTAAATTACCCAAAACATTACTTTAGAGATGTCTAAGTGAATCTTTGTAAACATTAATGTTGAGGGAGTTTGTCACACCATCCTTGGTGGTTCATCACTACCTTCCTGTACTACATACACATTATCCCTCCTGCTTCACTTTTACCCCTTCTGTCTCACTTCACTCCTTTCTGTTCCACTTCTCCCCCTTCTGCCCCACTTCTCCCCCTTTTGCCCCACTTCTTCTGCCCCACTTCTTCTCCTGTCCCACTTCTTCTCCTGTCCCACTTCTTCTCTTGTCCCACTTCCCCTTCTGCCACACTTTTCCTTCTACCTCACTTCTTTTCTTCTTCCCCTTCTACTCCACTTCTTCTTCAGCCCCATTTCTCCCCCATCTTCCCCCCACTTCTTCCCTCTTCCCATCTCCCAACACATGTACTGTACTGTATATGTTCCATATTGTACCTCTGTTCTGTTTATTAAACAATGTTTAATACTGCTTGTAAGCGACCAGGCACAATACTGAGTGTAAAATATTAGGTGAATATTCTTAGTTAAAAAACAGATGAACCTTTCTCTGATTATAACAAGGACATGTGAGAAAATAGTTGTCCCCAGTTCTGAACAGTTATCTTGCTAACAATTTTCAAGAGCAAATTAATGTTGTAAGTTGGGAACCTAAGGTACTGTAATCTTTAAAGGATATATGCTAATTTATTGATAAAATTTATTATATTTTCAAATGCAAATGATCTGACTTTTGGTGAAATCTAACTTAGGTGCATTTTTAGAATTATTTTTAGAAATTATTTACAAATTTTGATAGGATAAGATGCACATTTATCTGATATTTGTGTTTCTACATATTATGATTGCTCAGGATTTTTAGAGGGAGAATATTTCAAATTTTCAGTCATGAATATTCTTCTTCTTGTTTATCAAAGCTTTCACAGAGTGCTGAATTGCTGAAAGAGAAAACTACAAGTACGATCTCACATTTGTCTCATATCCATGTGGCTGTCTCAGCCCTTCTCACTTTCTACCTCTCACATTGCCACTGTTTAAGAATAACTGAGAGTGATAACTGACAAGCTTAATTAGGCTTGTATCCTATTTCATAAACCAGCAGCCTGAAACATGAAGCTAAAAGGTTCACCCCAAAGTTATCCTCATAATATCCAGATTCTCCATAGGTGCCAGGATACATGCTGCCCTCAGTACAAGGTCAAACATGCATGATAATAAACCAGGAGTCTGTACTTCCATAATCTTGCATAGCAGACTGTTCTTTCTTAAACTGAAGTTTTTTTGTATATCAGCTACATACCTACAGGTGTCATAAATATACATATTCATAGACATCTTTCAGCGTACCAGCCGTATCCCACCGAGGTGGGGTGGCCCAAAAGGAAAAACGAAAGTTTCTCCTTTCAAATTTAGTAATATATACAGGAGAAGGGGTTGCTAGCCCCTTGCTCCCGGCATTTTAGTCGCCTCTTACGACACGCATGGCTTACGGAGGAAGAATTCTGTTCCACTTCCCCATGGAGACACATAGACATATCACACAGATAATGAGACTGCTCACTATAACCTATTGTATTAATTATGTACCTCTGAAATAAGTATGTGTTCCTCATTTAAACTATTATTTCGTAGCATTAAACTTCCTCTTGATGCACTCCGTAAGTCTGCTAGCTACTGATAAGGCTAACTTATGGAAAACAGGACAGTCAGCACCCTCCCACACTTGATTAATGGCACTCAAGATTTTGGGGTTAGAGGACACGTCCATTCCAGGAAGATTATGCTTAATAAGCTTCCAAACATTCTCTATTGGATTTAAGTCCAGTGAGTTTCCATGCTAGTCATTAAAGTATGGAAATGATTTACGCAATTCTTAATGTCTTTTGCACTATAACAAAAGGTACTGCCCAGGCACTTCTTGAATCTGGCAGGCAAATAGTGTGCTAAAGGCATACTTATGGGCATGAATATTTATGATGTCTACTGTATATGCAACAGACTGCTTGAGAATAAAAAATAAAAATTAATTTGAATTGTGCGAGATACAGTTTATTGCTTTGTAATGGCTCATTAGCTTTCTGCAAATGCTTTTAGCTATGCTTAAAGCAATTGTACATTTTATGTACTTCAATATTTTTTCCCCCTTGACATGCAATTTTTATACTTTTATATATACATAATCACTGTCTTCTTTAAAATGCAGGCATTGTACTTCCCATTTCCAGGACTCAAGTCCAGCTAACCGGTTTCTCTGACTCCCTTCACAAAATATTACCCAGCTAACACTCCAACAGCTCATCATGTCCCAAAAACCATTCATCTCCATTCACTCCTATCTAACATGCTAACACATGCTTGCTGGAAGTCCAAGCCCCTTGCCCACAAAACTTCCTTTACCCCCTCCCTCCAACCTTTTCAGGGATGACCCCGACTCCGCCTTCCTTCCCCAGTAGATTTATACACTCTCCAAGTCATTTTACTTTGTTCTATTCTCTCTAAATGACCAAACCACCACACCAACCCCTCTTCAGCCCTCTGACTAATACTTTCAGTAATTCTGCACCTCCTCCTAATTTCCACACTACGAATTCTCTGCATGATATTTACACCACACATTGCCCTTAGGCACGACATCTCCACTGCCTTCAGCCACCTTCTTGCTGCAGCATTTACAACCCATGCTTCACACCCATATAAGAGTGTTGGTACCACTTTACTCTCATACATTACCTTCTTTGCCTCCATGGATAGCATTCTTTGTCTCCACAGATACCTCTATGCACCACTCACCTTTTTTCCTTCATCATTTCTATGGTTAACCTCATTCTTCATAAACCCATCCACTGACAAGTCGACTCCCAAATATCTGAAAACATTCACTTCTCCCATCTCTCCCCCTCCAATGTGATAACCAATTTTTCTTTATCTAAATCGTTTGATACCCTCATCACCTTACTCTTATCTGTATTCACTTTCAACTTTCTACCTTGACACACCTCCCAAACTTGTCCACTAACCTTTGCAACTTTTATTTAGAATCCCCTAAAAGCACAGTATCATCAACAGAAAGGAACTGTGTTAACTCCCATTTTGTATTTGATTCCTCATAATTTAATCCCACCCCTTTCCCCAACACCCTAGCATTTACTTCTTTTACAACCCCATCTATAAATATGTTAAACACCCATGGTGACATTGCACATCCCTCTATATATATACATATCTTCTTCTTTCAATAAACTGACCATATCCCACCGAGGCAGGGTGGCCCAAAAATATAAAACAAAAGTTTCTCTTTTTAACTTTAGTAGTGTATACAAGAGAAAGGGTTACTAGCCCCTTGCTCCCAGCATTTTAGTTGACTCTTATGACATGCATGGCTTACGGAGGAAGAATTCTGCTCCACTTCCCCACTTCCACACCCTCGTCTTCCACTGAGGCAGGGTGACCCAGAAGAGAAACACTTTCAACTTTCACCATCATTCACTCTATCACTCTTTTTACCAAAGGTTCCCAGATCTAAAGTTCAGATGCCCATCCAAGCTGCAAATATCTCCACCCTTCCTTCAGAGTGAAGGCACTGTACTTCCTATCTCTAGGACTCAGATCTAGCTAACCATTTTTGCCTCTATCCCTTCCAGTAACATGTCCAGCCATAAAAGCCATTTGCCTCCATATTCGCTCTGTCTCATGTTTATTCACATTGAGCTGCTGCTACACTCTTACAGAAGAAATTAAGATGTATATTTCTGAGCTCTTCATGCAGCTCTATGATCATGGCTCTTGCTATTGGTCTTATTTGCTGTTGAAAAAGCACAGTATCAGCAGTATATAGAAAATGCCTTGATACCCCTTTAATTCCAATAAGAGAAATATCATGCTGTATGTATATACTGTCATTTTTTTTTTTTTTTAGTAAATTGGCTGTTCCCACCAAGGCAGAGTAACCTAAAGGAAGTTAATTTCACTAAACTGTGTTATATTACCAGCCTTTTTTAAATATGATGATCAGTGTATTGTACTATTTTAAAAAATCAAATACCTATAATAATAATAAGATTGGAATAGGGAAAGAGGTAAGAGATATCTTGCAAAAAGTACATGTTTCCTGGTTTCAAGTGGCATTCACACCAAGCCTCCAGGCCCTGGCTGTTTTCTGCCGCTGTTAATCCAAAGTGTCATACAGCACAATAAGTAGATTTATAAGTGTACAGTCGATTATTGTAAAGTAATTGCAAAGTTCTTTGATATTGAAAGAGGAACACTAGTGATTTAGTGTGCAAAAAGGAAAGTTAAGGAGAGAGAGAGAGAAGAAAATAGGAAGAGAGGGAAAGAGGGAGGTAAGGAGACAGGAAGGTAAGCTGAGTGGTTAGTTTCACCACTTATGCACTGTGGTGCACAGTACAAATCTTTCCCATGGTGCTTCTTAACAAAGGTGCACTTACAGGGAATATTTCTTCTTTAAACTACTATCCCTGGGGCTATCTGCAATTGTCTTTGACATATTACAATGGGCAGATAAGGAAAATCTATGGAAAAGGCTCATTATACATCTTAAAACATCCTAGTAGCATATGTGAAGAAAATAACAGCATGTATGATAGTTGATGCTTGCTTGCTGCCACACTTTTAATTTTGGTATTCCAGTAATTACCATTATTTTGACAAAGCAATGGCTACAAGACAAATAAGATATGCCTGTGTTCTTAATGAAGAACTTTAAGGAGTAAGCTATACAAAGGAGCATGAAAACCAAGCAGAACAATAGCTTAGGTCAACAACAGATTTTCTTTTTTTTTTGTAAAATTAATGTGTATTCAGTAGCTGTTTTACAAGAAGCGCATGGACATCACAGTTCAAATAAACCTTTGAACTACAACATCCCTGCCTGTCCTTGTTTCTGTCAGTTATACATGTTAAATATCATCTGGAAAATAATCTCTCTCTGATGCCCTTTTTAGCATAGCAAAGCATGAGGAAGGAGGTGGTTACCTATGCTGTAAAAGTGATATTACCTGTTGCCTGTTAGAAAGAGGGAGTCAGGTGACTGCCTCAGGGTACTGTTTAAATGCAGAATTAGCATCCACCAAGCATAATAACTCACTAAATCTGGTATCTGCAGAAAAATGTTAAAATTTTGCATTTTACTGCATATTTAAAAAGTGGATTTAGTTATCGTCTCTTTATTGTTTAGGGGTTAGAGAATTGTGTTAGTCTTCTAGTGAATTTGATGATTCCTCAAGTGTTCAAGTAAATTATACCTTTCCTCTCCATATCTCATTGCAGTATAATACTGTTTAGCTTAATCTTACTTTTCTAAGGTCATCCTAAATTTAGCATTATTAAACATCTTTAAAATGTGTTCAATAATTATTGCTAAGGTAGAGCAAAAATGAATATAAAATTGGCTTGTACAGCAAAACTGTTCTTGTTGAATAAGTCGAGTCAGCAACTTCTAGCTAAAACGCATTACATATATATGCTGTGTTATTTAGGCAGAGTCAGTCAAACAAATTGAACTGACCTTAAAGTAGATCCTACCTTAATTATACCAAACCTCTATTAGGTCAGCTTAAATTTATTTAGTATTTAACATCAGTGATTTATTAACATCAAAAGGTGTTCAGGATGATTTTTGCAAAGTTATTGCAATACTAAATTTTTACCTTGCTTGTTTTAGCAAAGTGATCATTGCTTTATAAACCAAGATAACAGACTCTGCTTAAAAAGCATGACATACAGTATGTACATACATGTATACTGCACATTCTTTCATACATATATACTACATATAATGGTGGGCAAATACTGTACAGTGATTATTGCATGTCATTTTCTTCCGCTGCACGAAAAATTTCTCTCTGGTTGTGGTTAGTAGCTACATAACATGAACATGGTAAGAATATTGAATGCATAAAACAGTGTCTGGTTTGTTCTTCCTGTGCAAAAATCCCTGTATTATGAATGTTGGAATGTTGTATTGAGCAAGCATCTGAAAGCAAAAGTTCTTTAAAAAATAGCGCTGAATGATCCTTATGGGTTTAGCACTCCCATCAATCATAATGTTTTTTCATAAAGTATGTTGAATGTTAAAATAATATTTCAAAAAACATTTTCCTAACATCTAACATACTTTTTGCTTTAATTTTTAATGTTAAATGTTCCTTTCAGAAACTATCTTCTTAATATTTTAAGGACTTAATGATGACTAATAGAAATTCTTAAATCAAAATTTCCTTTGGTGTTAATAAATTTTATGATAAAGCTTGACATGGATTGTGTAATTATAGAAATAATTGCAGAAATTTCCCATGTTAAATGAATCAAATTTAAATCAGGTCTTGCTAAGGAAAAAACTGTTGAGATTGTATGTGAAATGAATTTATAGATAAAAGTTTGATTTTAGAGTTAAATAAATCAAATAAGACCAATCTCTTAGTATGAGGACATTGTAGATTGTATTAGAGTAGGACTTGCAAATGTAATGTTGATTACAAAAAGAATATGAACAGTAAACTGATATTTGTACTTTATTTTGGGTGAGATTTTGTAAACCTTTTCCACCCATTTATTTGGAAAGGGGGTAAGGTTAATAGACATATAAATAGTTAAACAAATGTTAACCTTAGACAAGTAGATATTTTGTACTGAGTAGAAGATGAGTGCTGAAAACTAGTTTAGCACTGGTAGGTACAACACAAGGTGAGACCAAGGTAGCTAGCATTTTGAGCATACTACTAATGATGGCCTCTTCCTCTGGTAAGGAAATGACACAAATTTTTCCTTGGCCTTATCATTGTAAAGAAAGAGGTAACATTGTTTTCTAGAGGTTTGTGAGTGTTATTAGCATATTAGGTAATGTCTGGCTTATTATGCATAGAAATGCAAAGTATTGTACAGTATATTATTTGAGTGTATTGCAAAATCTGGAAAGCCATGTGAATGTGTCAAGTTCTTACCTCAGGAGAAGGCTCAAAATAACATCAAGAAGTTTAAAATAGAATTGTGTGCCTTTTTTCTTGGTGTTTTCTAAGCAAGGTTGAATTTAGTCCATCCCAACAAATACTATGTTGTGTAGCACCGTTGTGATAAACTTTGTATGTCCTCTTATAAACCATCTTCTCTGTGTTACTGAGTGTTGTCGTATGAAACTATTGCATGTCATAGCTCATCTTTTACTGTAATTCTGACATTATCTGGTGTGTGTAAGTGCCATTAATTTTTCATTACAGAGATGAACAGTTTTGTGCCTGCTGTGAATGCTAGGGTGCTTGATAGTAAGCAAATATTTGCCTCTTCTGTAATACAGTGCAGTGTATGTGGGAGTAAGAATTAGTATTTTTGAACATACAGTAGCTGTTTTTTAGCTCAAATGTTTGGTGTGGAAATTATTTGATACATTTTTTAAATTGTGCAGATATGAGTCACAAGTTTCCTGTGTTTTTAAACTTATTTATTATCATCCAGTAGAATTGTATGGCGATTATGATGTTTGAAACCATATACAGTACAGTACGGTACTTGAAATAATTCAGTGTCACAATTCATGACTGATTTATTAATGGCTGCTGTTGCTTATATCTTTCAGATTTAATTTAATCAGAGCCAGTAGTGCAAGTTGTTCAGAAACTTGGACTGTCATAAATTTAACATAATTCAGCCATTAATGCGCAAATAACCCGCATGTAGGAGAGAAAAGCTTATGATGGCGTTTCAGTCCAACTTGGACCAAGTCGGACCAAAACGTGGTCGTAAGCTCCCCTTTCCTACGTGTGGGTTACGTATTTGTGTATTATTCCAATCACGGTATTGTGCTTTTTTGTTCTCAGCCATTAATGTTATTCTTGATAAAACATTGTCATTGATTCACAGAATACATCCATGAAAACTGCAGTTTCTTATACTATATGAATATATGTGCTCTAAGAATATTTTTGAAGTGTATCAGTGGCAAGCATATTGCAAACATACACCTCTTACTGCTTCAACCCATATCTTGATTAATATGACTATTGTGATACTGATACCATTAAATATATCTATTAATGACACAAATCAATCCACATTGAGACATTAAAGCAGAAGATAAGATAAAGACTGTATTTTTCTCAGAATAAAGCCTTCTTCAGATTTTTTTTTTTTTAACACAGGCCGTCTTCCACCGAGACAGGGCAGCCTGAAAAAGAGGAAACAAACGTTTTTCTTCTTTTTACAAAACAGAAATGTACAGTAAATGTAGTGTTTGAAATATGTAGTACTCAACTCTTTTTTTTTTACTGTCTCCATGTGAGTTAATATGTGCCATTGAACATATTTATTACACCTCTGTGTTTGGATATCTATTAATGAAATGCAGATTTTTAAATTAATTTTGAAAAATGCTCTCTGAGGGATGCTGACAAGATGTTAAGAGAATGTCAGGAAGATTATGGTAAATGTAGTACATGGTAATAAAACTTTACATTGATATTGAAGTGTTCTCAGGGGTTTATCCAAACACAGGTTTAGTTTACTCAGGAGACATAACACATTAAAAGGCCACTAACTGAAAATATTTTTAAATTTATTCTGGAAAGTAAGAGAATCAATAATTATTTATCTTGGAACAGTGAGAGATCATTGTTTGTAGAGAAAAACCATGCTGTCACACAAAATAAAAGGAACTTTTTCACTTTCATGATTATGGCATATGCCATCTTTCCTTAGTTTTTAGTTTGTGTAGATACATAATATCTATTAATTGCAGAGAACACACAATTGTAAAACATTTGCAATCTTACCAGTGGATTTCTCATGATTTTAAGGAGGACTCGGACCTTTAAGTTCAGTGTTCCTGGGATTAAATCTAAATGTTATTATTTCTCTTCCACCCAGTTATAAATGAAAACATTAATTTGTACAAGATAGAGAACTTATGCACCCAGAAGTTTGTTCAACAAAGAAACTGCTTACCAGTCTTTAACTCTTTGAGGGTCCAGAGGCTAAATCTCAGAGTGACAGCCAGGGTCCAAGAATTTACAAAAAAAAAAAAAAAAAAAAAATGCTATTTTTTCTTATGAAATGGTAGAAAATCTTTTTCTGAAGGTAATAAAACAAAAAGTATGAAATTTGATGGAAAATTGACGAAATTACGCTTTCGTGAATTTTGATGAGTCAGCGATATTTACGCACCGGCAATTTTGCTGACTTTGACTCCCATTTTAGGCCAATTACATTATTCCAATCGACCAAATTCTTAGCTGTTTCACTAGTATTACTTCTATTTTATTGACTGAGCACAAGAAATTGCCTAGTCAACTGTTTCAACTACCCAAGAAAGTGATTGATAATTTGGGCAGTTTAACACAAAGTTTAAAATATTCCAATTTCAAAATAGGGTCCAGAATAAACATTGCAGGTAATCCTGGCACTAAATTAACATTTCCTCTGTTCATTAGTTATGTTTTCAGGCTTTATAAATGAATTCCATTTTTATTTTTTATTCACAATGAATTTTTATCCCCACCAAAAACTAGAAGATTTACTGTTATGCAATGTTGTAATAATTATATAAATAATATCAGCACATTTGTGAACGTATATTGGACCCACCAGCTAATGCATATTAGATGCACGATGTCATATGTTTACTCTTGGACATTGGCAAAAATTGAACATTTCTGCTACTTTGAGCTTAGTTTCAAGCCATTTTCATTACTAAAACCAGTCAAAATTATCTCTATTTCTGTAATATATCTTCCATTCTATCAAGTGAGACCAAGAAATTGCAAATACAACTGTAAAAAAACATATGAAAGAACTCCACAAAGTCACTGTTTTAATTCAAAATTACGGTTGCAGTTTTTTTCTCATTAAGTACTGCGTGCTGCAGGATTTATTTTATGTGGTGCACACTTACTACATAGATGTATTCTCTCATATCTAGGCCCAAATTTACTGCTCACAGGTTATCTGAGTGAGCTGAGTTCGTGGTGTAGATCTATGGCTTGGACCCTGGCTTCAAAGTCATAGATCTATGGGACAGACCCTGAAAGGGTTAAATGTGACAAACATCATTTACAATCATTGCTTTTCAAACAAAAAAAAAATATTAATGATGTTAATTCCATTTTTATCCTCAGAACAAAATTTTCCTATTATAATGCCCTACTGGGCCAGATTTATTTTTAGTCAGAAGATGGTAAATGGTACATTTAGTATGTGCCAAAAGCATCATTACTTTCTTTGCTAAACTTGATGTATTTTGTGAATGGCCACATATGGTACATATGTCCATCTTGTAATATGTACTGTTATTCCATTATTATATATGCAGTAACTGCAGATATGTGGAAAAATTAATATACGCAAAATTGATTATATGCATTTGAAAATGCTCTTATTATATTGTGTTTTTATATTTTTTGTTTAGCTTTTTGGTTAGAGTTTTTAATTAAAGGCCTCCATGAAAAAGTCATACAATTTTATTATTTTTTACATAGACATCAATAGCACAGAATGACACATAGAGGTTTAATATTTTTTTATTGTGAATATAATAAGGGTTCATAAATATGAAAGGCAAAATTAGTTTGTTTTGATAAAAGAACAATAAAGTCAAAAATTATACAGTTCTGTATAATGTTGAAATTTTCTTTATAAAAACATCAGCTTGCAAAATTTTATGTGCTTGTATTTGTGAATTAAAATGCAGAACATTTTCAATAAATGTCAGCAATAATATGTATATGATTACCAAAATGTCATTAAGTACATTTGTTTTTTTAACACGGCTGTCTCCCACTGAGGCAGGGTGACCCAAAAAAGAAAGAAACACCTTCGCCATCATTCAGACATAATCACTGTCTGCAGAAGTGCCCAGATATGACAGTTCAGATGTCACTCCAAACAATCAGTATCCCAAACCCCTCCATTAAAGTGCAGGCATTGTACTTCTCACCTCCAGGACTCGAGTCTGGCTAGCCGGTTTCCCTGAATCCCTTCACAAAATATTACCCTGCTCACTCCAACAGCTCATCAAGTCCCAAAAACCATTCATCTCCATTCACTGCATGTATAGTAAAGGAGACGGGTTGTCCCGCTCCCAGAGGTGGAAGAGGACGGGGTTAATGCTGCTCGCGCTTGTCTCGTATGAGTGTAGCACGTTGCCTTGGACACTTGGGAAGAAGGAGAGGTGTCACCCGAGGGAACAGTGGTGTGCGCCGTCCCTCTTAGACGGCGATGGTGCCAAGAGACTATGGGGTGTTTTCGGCAGGGATGCCGCCAGAGGAGGCCTTAAGTCCCAAAAAATGACATGGTCTCACGGTGTTTCAACAAGGATTGCCCGTTGAAAAGACACACCAACCCAGTACTTTCCGGAGGGGACACCCCTCTTCTTTAGTACATATACTGCATCTAATTTTGAGTGCCAAAGTAGCTTCTCGAATGTGAATGGATACAATGGTAAGCTGTTCATTGATTATTTTCTATATGTGTACAAACAACTGTGTATAACTAGAATGATCATTCTTAGTCATCATTTAAGACACGAAAGACTACTAGTACATGATGTTTTTAAGAAGTCTTAATTGGTGCAGTTTCAGAATGAAATGCAAACTCATAAGCCACTAAAATCTCTACCCAGAATGTTAAAAAAAAACACTAACAAGCAAAAATAACAGATCTTTTTAAATATAAAGCAAGTAAATAAAAGCTAAAAAGATCCATGACACTTTAACAGAATTGCAAGATAATGTAAATGATAATTTAACGTGGGATACTTATAGAATAACAGCAGAAATATACAAAAAGGTACAGAAAATGTAGGCAAAGGTAATAAAAAGCAGTAATAACATGAATGACAGACTAGAATAAGGCTAGGCAAAGTCACATGATTATAACAGAAAATTATTATTAACTTATTTCATACCTATTACTAATATATTTAATTGGCAACACTATTTCTACTCAGGCATAATGGAAACTAGTTTCAATTAACACAATTATAAGCCAGGTCTATAAACTGGGGGTAATATGGCTGACACTTCAGCTGTTAGCTCTGGGAGTTGGTTCAGTCATTTTCACTGTTCTTATAGAAAGAAGCATATTTCACAATAGACACATTTTTTTTTTTTTCAACAAGTCGGCCGTCTCGCACCGAGGCAGGGTGACCCAAAAAAAAGAAAGAAAATCCCCAAAAAGAAAATACTTTCATCATCATTCAACACTTTCACCACACTCACACATTATCACTGTTTTTGCAGAGGTGCTCAGAATACAACAGTTTAGAAGCATATACGTATAAAGATACACAACATATCCCTCCAAACTGCCAATATCCCAAACCCCTCCTTTAAAGTGCAGGCATTGTACTTCCCATTTCCAGGACTCAAGTCCGACTATATGAAAATAACCGGTTTCCCTGAATCCCTTCACTAAATATTACCCTGCTCACACTCCAACAGATCGTCAGGTCCCAAGTATCATTCGTCTCCATTCACTCTTATCTAACACGCTCATGCACGCTTGCTGGAAGTCCAAGCCCCTCGCCCACAAAACCTCCTTTACCCCCTCTTTCCAACCCTTTCGAGGACGACCCCTACCCCTCCTTCCTTCCCCTATAGATTTATATGCTTTCCATGTCATTCTACTTCGATCAATTCTCTCTAAATAACCAAACCACCTCAACAACCCCTCTTCTGCCCTCTGACTAATGCTTTTATTAACTCCACACCTTCTCCTAATTTCCACACTCTGAATTTTCTGCATAATATTTACACCACACATTGCCCTTAGACAGGACATCTCCACTGCCTCCAACCGTCTCCTCGCTGCTGCATTTACCACCCAAGTTTCACATCCACATAAGAGTGTTGGTACTACTATACTTTCATACATTCCCTTCTTTGCCTCCATAGATAACGTTTTTTGACTCCACATGAGTTTGCTAAACAGCTACACACTTCACTTCACTAAAATGGAATCTAAATTTTGTTTGAACTTAAAACAAGCTCAATATACAGGAGAGCATTGCTGTTGTTTCAGGCTTTTCCTCCAGAACTCATACATATTCCGATTATGACACTCCTCATAAAAGCATGATGCTAAAAAAAGAATACAAAGTCACAATACTGTGGCTGGCATGACATACAAATAACCTGTTGGTTATTTGTGCACGATGTTAAAAGTTGTACAATAATAGCAAACAATTTATCAGCTTATATTACAATCACACTTGCATGCTAAATAGGGTACATATATTTTGTGAAATAATCAGATTTACTAAAGGTCTTATACAAAATTGTTGGAATATCTTGACAACTGAGGATCAGCAAGCATAACTTCATATTCTTAACCCTTTCACCGTGTGCTTATTACGTTGATCGATGTTATTGATGCCAGTGTTGCTCTTGTACATGTATGTTTTAAGCACAGAGCCCTCAAAAGTGCTGTGGGTAGTAAATTTTCACCTAAACATGAGAATGGGTCTGTGCAGTGAGTGTACACAGTATAAAAAAAATCCTGCCTCACATGGTACAAGATGGAAAAAGCAAACCTCTGATCTTATGTTTGGTTTAAAATAGTGACTTTGAGGGTACTTTGACACTGGTAAAGGATGCTTGGTTTAGGTAACTTCATCCTTTGATCAAATATAATCACCTCCCATTTCCCTGGTGCTGTATAACCCCTAAGGGTTTAGCTCGTACCCATATTTATAATAAATGATTATGCCAAATATTCTCATGATACAATACACCACTGTAATGTTATCAAGTAGAACCGACAGTTCAATATTTTTTGATAGATTGTCCCATTATTAGATAACATGTCAACTTCACTTTTAGTATCTCCTGCAGCGTTGACAGGTTTATCTTGTTCCCCCTCTTTCTTAATATCACCGCTGCCCTCAAGGCTCCCTCTCTCAACTGTTTTTTATCCACTGGCATTTTACTCCACAAAAAATTAAATTTCTAATTTTTAATTTCTACTCAACCTCAGGTTCAGCATTTTTTGTAATACTGTGTAAAATGATAATAATAAATAATAATAATACTGTAATATGATAATAAAATAATAATAATACTGTAATACGATAAAATAATAGTGACCTTTTTAACACACTGGCCGTCTCCCACGTAAGGTGACTCTCCCTTCCCCTGTAAAAGGAAATTTATTCACCATCATTCATTCAATTGCTGTCTTGCTACATGTGCATATACATCACAATTCAAACGACCCTCCACACTACATCCCTACCCATGCAGAGTGCAAGCATTGTGCTTCCCACCTTCAGGACCTACACTCTGAAGGAAGGGTGACGATATTGCACAGTTTGCAACATCCTCACCCTTCCTTCCTTTTTTGAATTGTGAAAAGAAATAAAGATTTATTATCATTATTAACTTTATACACTCTCGCTCACTGTTAACCTTCACACATTCCTCCCCATAGTATTGTATGACTCACATGGGTTTAGTGCTTAATTTGATAATAATAATACTTTAATACCACTCCAGGCATAAGCTGTGTACGTATAAGACTGAATGACCGCTATGCACTTGACCTACGGGTTTTGTGCTTAATTTGGATAGCATACAAATTTGTGACAATTGCCTTGAGAGAACACACATTATGGAGACACAAAAATTAAATCATGTAGATTTAACCTAGGAGAACCCAATAAGTTAGTGCCTGACTTATTGGGTTATTTCTTCGGAACCTTTTGTGAATGTTGGAAGCTCTGCCACTGAGGATTTTGGAAGTTATCTGAGCCATTCCAGAATGCTGAGAACGGGCTCAACTACTTTGCTCATAGGGCACTTGAGCATGCCAATTTACATACCATACTCTAGTTATGAGTGAAATATTAAAAAGTTGGAGGAAGAAAAAATCAAGTAACTTCTTAAAGATCCTCCCTCTGAGGACACAATAATAATATGGTACTGTAATATGTAAGACAGTAGGAAGGAAGTGCTCTGTTAGTCATTCATTGTCAGAGATAACTACTATTAGTTTTCACTCATTGGTCAACCTTAAAGAACGAATCAGGTGTCGCCTCTTGTCACGAGGAGACTGTAATTATCTGATACAATGTAATATTTCAAGATAACTATATATTGTACACGATTTTTGCGGTTGGCAAACATTGTGCCTACATGGCACCTACATCATAGCTGCCACTGTGGTAAAAATTTTTCTATATAATTTAATTGGATCATACATGATGGAATGAAAAAAATATTCATATGTTTTCTGGTCATGGGGGAAAGTATGTATGAGGAGAGAGATTGTGATAGGTGACAGCTGCCACTTAAGAGTAGGAAGATAAGAAATGAGGTGACACCACCTGCCTCAGAGCAGTCACTGGGATCTCAACATCTGTCCTGACAACACCTGACATACACTGCTCCTCAGACCACACTATGTCGGGTTAGTGTTCTTTTTTGTCACTGTTATTATCACGAAGAGTAAGATATGTTAATATAGTCTGAAGAATATTCGAAAGTCTAGTTCACGGAATTTATAAAGCAATTTGTCATCACACCTATATTGACAGTTCTTTTAATACATTACTGTATTAATTCCCCTCGAGGGAGGTGCTTTGATACCAATGAGGGGTTCTTGACTCAAGGAACTTGATTTACCCTCCTTTTCTTTGGATAGTCTCCCCTCAAGGAAGGTTCCTTGATGTTGGTGAGGGGCTCTTGATTTAGGGAATTGGATCTGTGCTCCAGTTCCCCGAATTAAGCCTGAATGCCTTCCACATATCCCCCCCCCCAGGCGCTGTATAATCCTCCGTGTTTAGCGCTTCCCCCTTGATTATAATAATAATAATTTGGATAGTCTGCTTCCCATTCCTCAGGCGTTAAATGACCCCTCTGGGTGTATTATTTTCTCCTGGTTAAAATAAAATACTGTAAAAATTGAACATCAAAATGGTATACAATACCGACAGGTTGTTAGGTAAGACACATATGCAACAGTTAGACAACTTTATTCCGAAACGTTTCGCCTACACAGTAGGCTTCTTCAGTCGAATACAGAAAGTAGGCAGGAATAGTAGAGATGTGAAGACGATGTAATCAGTCCATCACCCTTGAAGTCGTAGAATTTGAGGTTGTCAGTCCCTCGGCCTGGAGAAGTTCAGTTCCATAGTCAGGAACTATCTGAAGATCAAGCGACAGTGCGGAGACTTAAATACTGTCGGAAGGAGAGGTGCAGAGTAGTAGTAGTAGTAGTGAGAATGTAGCCACTGAGAGGTCATGTCCCTCTCAGATCCAACACTTCTCACTTGAAAAGCTTGTCCAAGGTGTTTTCTGTAACAAGATGCCATGTGTTGCAGTGTCTGACAAGATGAACATCAAAATGGTATACAATACCGACAGGTTGTTAGGTAAGACACATATGCAACAGTTAGACAACTTTATTCCGAAACGTTTCACCTACACAGTTGGCTTCTTCAGTTGAATACAGAAAGTAGGCAGGAACAGTAGAGATGTGAATACGATGTAATCAGTCCATCACCCTTGAAGTCGTAGAATTTGAGGTTGTCAGTCCCTCGGCCTGGAGAAGTTCAGTTCCATAGTCAGGAACTATCTGAAGATCAAGCGACAGTGCGGAGACTAGTACCTTACACTTATCCACATTGAACTTCATCTGCCATTTTTCAGACCAAGACATTAATTTTTCAAAATCCTCCTGGAGTTCATTGCTATCCTCTTCAGAATGAATCATATGGCCTATCTTTGTATAATCAGCAAATTTTCTCATGTTACTCGTAATCCCTTCATCAAGGTCATTAATGTAAATTATGAACAAGAGATGGCCTGAAACTGATCCTCGTGGAACACCACTAGTAACTAATTCCCATTCAGATTTGACCCCATTAATGGAAACTCTCTGCTTTCTATTGGTAAGCCATGCCTCTATCCATGCTAGAACTTACCTCCTATACCATGAGCTGCCACTTTTCTTAAGAGTCTCTTGTGAGGTACTCTATCGAAAGCTTTACCAAAATTCAGATAAACAGTATCATATTCTTTATCACTGTTTACTGCCTCAAATGTTCTATTGAAAAATGTCAGTAAATTTGTCAGGCAGGAACGGCGTCTCATGAACCCATGCTGAGATTCATTAATCAAATTATACTTTTCAAGGTGACTTCTAATAATGTCAGCTATAATTGATTCTAATAACTTGCTCACTATAGATGTCAGGCTTATTGGACGGTAATTTGAAGGTACGGACTTATCCCCTGATTTGAATAGAGGAACCACATTAGCCATCTTCCCCAACTCTGGCACAACACCAGTAAGGATGGACGCATTAAACACACTCGTTAATGGCTGACTAAGTTCCATCTTGCATTCCTTAAGTTCCCTGGAAAACAACTCATCGGGCCCCGGGGACTTATTTTGCTTCAGTTTGTGTATCGGTTTGATAACCATATCCCTCGTGACAGTAATATTAGTTAAGTTAAATTCATCAGGAACTGAATAGTTGTTAATTTCTGGAATCTCATTTGTGTCTTGTGTAAAAACCGACAAAAAATAGTCATTAAATAAGGAACACATTTCCAGTTTGTTATCCGTCAGTTGTCCATTCCCAATTTTCAAAAGGTCCTACTTTTTCCTTCACCTTCGTCCTATACACTTGAAAGAACCCCTTTGGATTGGTCTTTGATTCATTAGCAACTCTAATTTCATAGTCACGTTTAGCCTTTCTAATCCCCTTTTTTACTTCTCTTTTAAGCTGAACATATTGGTCAGTAAGGTTAACCTCTCCTCTTCTGATGCGCCTATAAATTCCCTTTTTTTTCCCTAATTGACGCTTTAGCCTCCTGTTAACCCATTTGGGATCGTTATTACTAGACCTAATTTCTCTCTGGGGAATGTATATACTCTGAGCATGGTGTACATTATTAAGGAAAAAACCATAAACGCAGATCCCTTCGTAATCATAAGTATGATCATCGTCAATAAAATCATTAGCTAGACAACCCCAATCGAGATTAGATAGGTGTTCCCTAAGTCCACTATAATCGGCAGAACGAAAATCAGGGATTTTTTTTACCGTATTATCATTATTCTTGTATTCCCAGTTAATGCTAAAAGTGATGGATTTGTGATCACTTGCGCCAAGCTCTTCAGTGATCTCCAGATTATTTACGAGTGTTTCCTTATTTGACAAGATTAGGTTGAGCAAATTATTACCCATGGTAGGCTCTATTACACACTGCTTCAGAAAACAGTCCTGAACTGTTTCCATAAAGTCACCGGACTCCAGATTACCGGTCAAAGAATTCCAGTCAATTTGACTAAAGTTAAAATCCCATACTATCACTACGTTATTGTGTCTAGAAGCTCTAACAATTTCATCCCAAAGAAGTCTCCCTCTATCGTGATACAAGCCTGGAGGTCAGTATATTACACCTAGAATTAGTTTTTCTTAACCTTCTACAAACTCTACCCAAACAGATTCTGTTACTATTCCATCTATTTTTATACCAGTTTTTATGCAACACTTAATATTTTCTCGAACATATAATGCAACTCCTCCCCCCTTCCCATTACAACTATCCACACGGAAGAGCTTAAACCCTTGAATATTACACTCGGCAATCATATCCCGACTCTTTAAATCATACCAGGTTTCAGTTAATGCAATGACATCAAAGTTCCCAGCACACACTACCAAACGTAGTTCATTAATCTTATTTCTTGCACTTCGACTGTTAGCATAAAATATCATCATATGTTTTTTCTTCTCACATTTTTCCTATTCGCCTTTGCTTTTACACAATTTCTGAAATTATCATTACCCAGCATTACTTCATGACTGTTATTATTAAGATTCATAATATCAAAGCCTAAATCAATATATCCATACTCATTATTTTTCATTTCTAAACCCATACCTCTAACTAATCCTAGTTTAAAGCCCTAACAATCCCCTCAATTGAGCTAGCAAGAAAACCCACACCTGCCCTGGATAAGTGAACCCCATCCCTGGCATACATGTCATTTCGGCCATAGAAGTGGTTCCAGTTGCCAATGAATGGTACTGCATTATCTTTACAGTGTTTGTCCAGCCAACAATTAACACCAATTGCTCTGGACAACCATTCATTTCCAACACCCCTTCTTGGCAAAATGCCACATATAACAGGATGCCCCCCTTCTTCCTAATTATGTCTATTGCTGTCCTGAACCTTCTAACTAAATCCTCACTTCTACGCTTGCCTACATCATTGCCTCCAGCACTGAGGCAGATAATAGGATTGATCCCATTACCGTTCATGATGCTGTCAAGTCGGCTAACAATATCCTCCATCCCAGCCCCAGGAAAGCAAACCCTCTGTCTCCTACTCTTATCCTTCAAGCAGAACGCCCTATCCATGTATCTAACCTGGTTATCCCCAACAACAACAATATTCTTACCTTCCTTGGTGTCGTTCATCGTGACCTTCCCAGTAGTCGACTCACATTCGTCGGGTAGTGCGGAGAATGCATTAGATGTTACCACAACAGTTTCCACAGCAGTCTGTTTCTTCTTCATTGTTTCTACCTTTCCATTCGTCTTCTTGATCGTCAACTTCGTTCCATGCTGTCCAGCCACTGTCCAGATTCCCTTCTTGACCTGAGAACTCACAACTGGAGGACTACTACGAATCCTCTTATTTTCCTCAGTCAATCGCCGTATGTCCATCTTCGCTACCCTCAATTCTTCCTTAAGCTGCTGGTCAAGTTGCTCGATGGAGGGCATCTTGGTTCAGTCCACGGAGAGTACACTAGACACGACCTCACTGAGCTAAGTACAGGTCACCACTGAGCTGACCTCTCTTGGGCCAAATAATTGGAGCCACGCTTCCCTTCCTATGTCATCATTATGTCCCATTTGCCAGGTGCTAGATAACCCCCTTGGGTTTAGGCAACAAAGTTCGGCATATTTTTCCCACGATGACATTCCCATACACATAAAGTTTAGCGCTTTATTTAATTATAATAATAACATACCCAGATAAAAAGAAAACTAAGGCCCATGTGTAGTTATTGAATAAATTTACAAATCTATGCTAGCAGCAGTACGTCGGCGGTGACAAGAGCCTAGTGCTCTACGACAGACACAATCTGTAACTGAGTCAAGGACACAAGTCTAAGTATTGCCATAGTTTTTAAGATGGCCTTAATGAGCCACTGAGTGTGTCATATTCTGATTACAACCCACATCAATTGATTTTCCTAGACATTAACTACAACAACCTTCTGCATCAAGGATATTTCTTTCCCTTCCTTGAAGCGTCATAAGTAGGTGGGAGAGTCTTGATATAACACAAAATACAATATTCCAAACTACAGTATTCTTCACAGTTCTTGCTTAATTTCGTAAACTACGAAGTATATTTTCCTAGCAATAATAAATGTATGGAAGAGGGTAAGGTACCTAGGGATTGGCAGAGAGCATGCATAGTTCCTTTGTATAAAGGCAAAAGGGACAAAAGAGAGTGCAAAAATTATAGGGGAATAAGTCTGTTGAGTATACCTGGTAAAGTGTATGGTAGAGTTATTATTGAAAGAATTAAGAGTAAGACGGAAAATAGGATAGCAGATGAACAAGGAGGCTTTAGGAAAGTTAGGGGGTGTGTGAACCAGGTGTTTACAGTGAAACATATAAGTGAACAGTATTTAGATAAGGCTAAAGAGGTTTTTGTGGCATTTAGGGATTTGGAAAAGGCGTATGACAGGGTGGATAGGGGGGCAATGTGGCAGATGTTGCAGATGTATGGTATAGGAGGTAGGTTACTGAAAGCAGTGAAGAGTTTTTACGAAGATAGTGAGGCTCAAGTTAGAGTATGTAGGAAAGAGGGAAATTATTTCCCAGTAAAAGTAGGCCTTAGACAAGGATGTGTGATGTCACCGTGGTTGTTTAATATATTTATAGATGGGGTTGTAAGAGAAGTAAATGCGAGGGTCTTGGCAAGAGGCGTGGAGTTAAAAGATAAAGAATCACATATAAAGTGGGAATTGTCACAGTTGCTCTTTGCTGATGACACTGTGCTCTTGGGAGATTCTGAAGAGAAGTTGCAGAGGTTGGCGGATGAATTTGGTAAGGTATGTAAAAGAAGAAAATTAAAAGTGAATACAGGAAAGAGTAAGGTTATGATGATAACAAAAAGATTAGGTGATGAAAGATTGGATATCAGATTGGAGGGAGAGAGTATGGAGGAGGTGAATGTATTCAGATATTTGGGAGTGGACGTGTCAGCGGATGGGTCTATGAAGGATGAGGTGAATCATAGAATTGATGAGGGGAAAAGGGTGAGCGGTGCACTTAGGAGTCTGTGGAGACAAAGAACTTTGTCCTTGGAGGAAAAGAGGGGAATGTATGAGAGTATAGTTTTACCAACTCTCTTATATGGGTGTGAAGCATGGGTGATGAATGTTGCAGCGAGGAGAAGGCTGGAGGCGGTGGAGATGTCATGTCTGAGGGCAATGTGTGGTGTGAATATAATGCAGAGAATTCGTAGTTTGGAAGTTAGGAGGAGGTGCGGGATTACCAAAACTGTTGTCCACAGGGCTGAGGAAGGGTTGTTGAGGTGGTTCGGACATGTAGAGAGAATGGAGCGAAACAGAATGACTTCAAGAGTGTATCAGTCTGTAGTGGAAGGAAGGCGGGGTAGGGGTCGGCCTAAGAAAGGTTGGAGGGAGGGAGTAAAGGAGGTTTTGTGTGCGAGGGGCTTGGACTTCCAGCAGGTATGCGTGAGCGTGTTTGATAGGAGTGGATGGAGATATATGGTTTTTAATACTTGACGTGCTGTTGGAGTGTGAGCAAAGTAACATTTATGAAGGGGTTCAGGGAAACCGGCAGGCCGGACTTGAGTCCTGGAGATGGGAAGTACAGTGCCTGCACTCTGAAGGAGGGGTGTTAATGTTGCAGTTTAAAAACTGTAGTGTAAAGCACCCTTCTGGCAAGACAGTGATGGAGTGAATGATGGTGAAAGTTTTTCTTTTTCGGGCCACCCTGCCTTGGTGGGAATCGGCCAGTGTGTTAATAAAAAAAAATAATAATTTGTTGCTCCACTATACCACCATATTTTTCTAATTAAAATTATTGCTCGTAAATTACTTTGAAAACCATTAATGAAGATTTTAGGGTTTGCAGAGGTTATTCGTAATTTTTTTGTATATATATATATATATATATATATATATATATATATATATATATATATATATATATATATATATATATATATATATATATATATATATATATATATATATATATATATATATATATATATATATATATATATAATATATATATATATATATATATACGTATATACTTCAATAATAACCAAAATAAGTAATCCAGGACCCTCGAGAGAGGGTCTTTGATGCAGGGGAGGGGTTTTTGATGTAATGAATTAGACTGTGCTTCCCTTCCTCGGATCAAACCCTAATGCCTCCCATTCCCGCAGGCGATGTATGACCCCCTAAGGGTCTAGCGCTTTTCCCATACATACAGTGTAATCACTTCTGTCACAAATTTGTCTGAAGTTTTTCTGCTGCTGTGAAAACTCGGCAGAGTTGGAAATGTATGATAATGTTTCTTGTCAGGGATTAAGTGTCGAACAAGTGTTTCTGATGAACATTGTTACATCTCTTGTCATCTATTCTAAGTTCCTTTCCCCGCAAGAGTAAAAATTGATAGCGAAAAAGCATATCTGATTTTTTTTTTACTAATTCAAGATACTCTTAATACAACAAGTTTTCACTGCAACCTGAAATTATTGAACTTTACTAAATCTGTTATACAATTTTTAAAACTTATTAATACTAAATGATGCTTTACAAAGAAGAAAAAAGTCTACAATCATTTCATAGATAAGAAAATAGTAATATTATAAACATTAATTCCAGCAGCAACAATAATACCCTTTTCGTTTTTCTCAATTGTCTCTCTAAACATTTTCACTGGAATTTTGTGTTTGTCACATATATGTAATGCACAGAACCTTCCATTAAGTATAATTACGTCTTTGTACTCTCTGTCAAGATCCATGAGAATGATATCATAGATAACTCTTATTGATCTAAAATTTCTTATCATCTTGATTAGTCACCAAGTATGTGTCATGTTATCGTGTCACGTCAGACAATGATATAACTGTATAAAGTTCATTCTTAATCTCGAGTGTCAGCAGGAAGTGTCAGAACGCTAGTTGCAAAGATTAATTATTACAAAGAATACACTTAATTGACACTTTAAGTTTAATTCTTAGGTGGATGACAATAATAATAAATTATTATTATTATTATTATTATTATTATTATTATTATTATTATTATTATTATTATTATTATTATTATTGTTGTTGTTGTTGTTCATATATGATATGGCGCCTAAGGAATAGAAAGAAGTTAAGCTGGTTTGATCCAAGGAACAGTCATAAGTAGCTAAAGATAAACTAAAATTCATCTGACTTAGTTAATTTTTTTCTGAATGTTTAATACTGACTTCATTAAGTTTGGTGTGCCTTTATGGGGTGTATAACATGCAAATTTTCAGTCGCTTCGTTGGTCTTTGATGTGGACAAGATGTCAAAATTGCAATATATATATATATATATATATTATATATATATATATATATATATAAATATATATATATATATATATATATATAATATATATATATATATATATATATATATATATATATATATATATATATATATATTATATATATATATATATAATAATAGGAGGGAGGGGGTGGGGGATTTGTTTTGAAGCTGCGTTATTATTATTAATATTTATATTTGAAGGGGCTATGGGGAACTGATGGAATTTGGGGGGCTGATGCCCCTTGGTGCTGCCACTGACTAGTCGCTCATTCATGTGACTTCAAAGAAAATTATTAGTTTTACACATAGGGTAATCTTTGCACTTTTTTTTTAATTCTTGGAACAAATACCTTGCAGGAAAGATAACTAAGTACTCTAATGTTAACTGTTTTCAGTCACAGTTTTTATAATCTGAAGCTGGTTCATCCACTTTACAAATGCATTATTCCCGGTCCACAAAGACTGTATAATTAACGAGGGTACATGCTGTATTCTATTTACATACTGGAAGTTATAATTTTCCCAGCAAAAATAGGTATACTAATGGATAATAAGGTATACCTGGAGGAGGGGTGGGGATGCTGCAGTTCGGAAGGTTATCTGAACTGTGATGTCGGTCCGCTTCTGGTCACCCTATCTTGGTGGGAGACGTCCGATGTGTTAAGAAATGTATAATGAGAGTGCCAGTCAGTACCTTGTCTATCTTCACACTGTAGCTGCTGCTTAGTATTTTAAGCCACAATAATTTATTGCCGTCATACATGTGAAAATTACGAACAACTTGCTCCTGGCGTTAGTCACTAGTGACAGTAATTAAATACATTCAGCTATGTATAACCTCCTACTTAGTGTATATGATAAATCCTCGTTACTGTATTTTAAGAAGCACAAAACCCATGGGAGTCGTTCAACGCAGGTAATAGAGGCTTTTTCCTCGCTCCATTAATCGTGGCTTGGTCTCGGGTCACATGATTGCTATATATACTGATAACATGTATCGACTTCCTGGTAACCTGAATGTTTCTGTTGGGATATTAACTTACTTTCTAAGTTTATGTTCCGTAGATTGCATTACTTTTTTTTCATAAAGCCTAAGTGAAAATTTCGTGTGGTGACATTGCAGTCCACTTCACCGAGGACACGGGCTCGACTCGCAAATATAAATTCCGTCGCATCCAGACGGGGACCATCAGGTTCAAAGTGAAGGCGGCTCATGACGTGGCCATCTGCCTCTCCTCTGACAATGAAGAGGAACCTGAGGACATGTACGAGATCTTCATAGGGTGCTGGGGAGGCGGAGAGTCTGGTATCCGCCGTAAGAAACACGATGACGTCTGCCGCATCGAGACACCAGACATCGTCAACGGAGATGAGTTCGTGGGATTCTGGATAAAGATTCAACGCGGCGTCATCAAGGTCGGCTTTGGTTTTCTACAAGTTTGGCTCACATGAAGCTCAAATTCTATTACATGTCCCGAATTACTAGAAAATATATAATTATATGAAAATTGGTGGATGACCTAATGAAGTTGTTAGAATTATTATTCTTAGACATGTTTGCCAAACTTAACCTAGAGGTACCTCTCGGGCAGGTTGGCCGCTCTGGACAAAAACATGCCTTCATGACTTACTCTGACCCTGAGACTCTCCTTCATGCTACCTGGTATGGCTTCTCAACCGGCTGGGGTGCAGAGGGCGAGTGGGTCTTCCCCGGTACGCCTTATTCTTGTTTATTTCTAAATTGCTCTTTAAGAGGGCCCGGCAGCATCATTAGTGTTAACTGAAATAATGTGTAAATAAAAATTTATTTGCTGGCTAAACTGAAAGCCGCTGACTTAGCTTAAGAGCCTAAAGATGGCTGTGAGTAACTTGTTTCTTTCCGGCAGATGACGATGACACTTCTTCGTCGTCCTCGTCAGCCATGTCTTCCTCTGACTCTGAGGCAGAAGACATCAACAACCTGGAAGACAGACGTAAGGCACTAAGGGCTCTTGAGACGTTGGGGAAGAAGCTGGAAATTTAATCAACTTACAAAACTAGCATAGTAACGATGAAAAGATCTTGCGTTGTGAAGTACAGAAATGACGAGATAGTGGCCGCTTCCGTTGTGTAGTAAAGTTAAACTAGGCTAGGAAAGATACAATACTTTGACTTAGAATTTTGAATTCAGGTCATCATATACATGAACAAATTTCTTATGAAGAATTAGACATATGTGCAACAACTGGGTGTCTTTATAATATAAAAGTTTCGCCAACCAGTGGCTTTAACAATACGTGGACAAAAACAGAAGACTGAAGAGGTTGAAGATGAGGTATTTAGTTCCTCAGTGTAACAGCGTATTCAGTACCATAGTCTTGATGAATCTGAAGCACAGGCAGGTTAGGTCTGTCAGGAAACAGGACAAGTGTTTCCTGATGCGGGTCTTAGTCATATGATGACCCACAGCTGAAGCTTTTTGGTCATCTGACCGAAGCCTTCCATTGGCTTATCAGTCCACCACCTCTAAAAATTATGGTTACGACTTTAACCATTAGATCAGCAGGAAGAAGTGTGCTTATAACTGAAGTCAGATAAGGTGCAGCAGATGACTGCATTGTCACTGATTGGCGGGATTTCTAATGGAAACTTTTTGGAGAATTTTAAATTCCAAGTACAAATAATTAACAGTTTTCTTTATCACTTTTAGCTTTAATTGCTTCTTTGACAATTTACCAGTTTTAGTATATTTTTTCACAGAATTTACTTAAAAGTTTATACCATAATTTTTCGTATTATAGTGTAAGTCCACTGCATCTGCGGCTGCCAGTTCAGATTTTTCACTCTTTCACATAGACTTATTGTGAATTAGTGTTTATTGGTACTTTACTTAAATATTTACTGTACTTCATTTCGAAACTGTCATAAAGGGATTTGTTTGCATTTTTTTTCAGTCAATGCCCTTGAAAGGAGGTTCTTGACGCTGGTGAGGGGCTCTTGACCTAGGGAATTGGATCTGTGCTCCACTTCCCTGAATTGAGTCTGAACCCCCTCACATGCGCTGTATAATCCTACGGGTTTAGCACTCCCCTCATGATTATAAGTATAATTTCCAGTCAATGTGATCATGTCTTAAGAAATTAATTCCTCCCAGTGTTACAGCTTTCACAAAGGCGAAAAACTTCTTGTATATCTAAGAGAATAAAACAAACTAAAGTTCCTCTCTGTTTTAGCATTATGTTTCGGCTAAGACCAGTCAGCTTACTTTAGGTAAATCCTCTGGGGTCATACAGATAGGTAATCAAGTTTGACCTGAGGAAGAGGAGTGAATCTCTAGTTCCTTAGATCAAGAGCCCTTCGCCAGTATCTAGGTACTTCCCTTCAAAGTTAAGGTATATACAAAAGTGTGTGTGATGCTCTGAGCTAACTTGAATTCGTTTTTTTTTTTAATTAAGGTGTCCTTAACATTGTAAAAATTAATGTAAACCTGACGCGGGTCTTAGTCATATGATGACCCACAGCTGGAGATTTTGGTCATCTGACCGAAGCCTTCTGCTGGCTTACTTGTCCACCCCTTTAAAAATTATGGTTATTATTATAACCATTTTTTTCCTTGCAGGTTAATGATCCACGTGTAGTTGATAAGCTTTAAATATACTTGACTCCTGCTTAAATACCAGTAATATCCTGACAACTTGTTGGTAAAAGTTACGTTTATTATAACAGCCATCCAGTACAAGCGACCAGCACGGTGGGTACCAGCCAAGAGTGGCTACTTCCCCCGTCATCCAGTGTCTGGAGGAGAGGGTCCTGACGGTGAGGTCTTTGTGGGCATGGCTCACCATGAAGGTGCCTATGTGCTGGGTATGGTGGTACCTGACCACGGCTGTTGCTACATACCCTATGGTGGTGATGCCATTCCAAAGTCTGAGTATTTTGTAAGTAGCTAGTGATTTTTTCTTAAGCGATGGAGATACAACTTATAATAATTTCTATCCATTATTATATATAAAAAATATTAGGCGTTTTAACACTATACTTTAATCTCTAATGTTTTTCCACCTCTTTAATATTTTGGGTCTTTAATTTTGAAAAAATCTTGTACATATATGTATATGAACCCTAATATAAAATGAATTGTCATGTAGTGAGTGACTAAGCTTGGTCAAAACTAAATTTACGGAGTATACTCTTCAGAATAAATTAAGCCTCATCTTAATTTCTTGATATTTACCCCACTAAGTCACCTTGCAGGACCCATTATCTTAGAAAAGTTTCGGATTACGGAAGGTTAGGAACCCAAGATAACTCAAGCCAGTGCGTTATATACACCAAAAAATATAAACTTCTCGGTGTTTATAGCCCTGTTGCTTTAATTATTATCAGTAGCGAGGGAATACCTGGGCATATTAGTTTGTAATTACAAATACTGCTTAAACTTAATACAGGTATTAACCGGGAGAGTTAACAACGATTTAGAAATTTTATCCTGCATAAGCAACGCCCATTTGAGTTCGTACTGAGTCCTGCCTTGGGGATATTCTTTCATTTTTACAACATAAATAAAAACAAGATTGATTTTTTTAGATTTTGCCACCGAAGTGGCTAGTTTATTGTGCACCCCATATCCATCCTGTGGACGGTAGCGCAAGAGCATATGGATACACAAAAGGCCTAGGAATTAGGCCCCAAAATGGTTAACAAGAGCACATCTGGATTTATGTTTACATTTCACTCATCTGTTACAAGGAAATTTTAGGAAATTTACTTAAGAACAAGCTGAGTGTCAAACTGAGGAAAACTCTGATAAACACTCGTTCTTCTCACCGTCAACACCTCATATGCAGTGCTAAAGAAAGTTTAAACTTGATTCAGGTGCTGAGTAACCCTGGTAGTGTGACGCTGTCTTGGGAGCCAGGGAGCATGGGCAAAGCTCCCTCAGGAGCCCTGCAGGGCGGCATCACAGAGGACGGTGAAGCTCTTTTCATCGGCCGTGTCAGCGTGGATGGTGAGGTCTCCGTCGGTAAGGTGAGACCTTTAACTTGACCACTAGACGTTCATAGTGTTTTACTGTAAGCCAGCACTTCCTTGTGAGTGATAGTCGTATCTCTTATCTTTCGCCATCCACAAGTAATTCTTGAGGTCCCGCATTCCTAATTACAAATTCAGGCTGAACCCCCTCATCAATCTGGCTCGGAAGACTCCGGATTATTAGCAGAATTTGTCTTGACAATGTGCCACAAATTGCAAATGGCGTCCCCTCCGTCACTACCCCGGCTGTTCTGCATCCCACCTCACTCGAAATTTCTCGAAGGGTCAATCAGCATCACATTATTTGAATTATTATATAATTCAAATTCATACATGCTGAATTTAGGAAAATTCAAAATTTTCCACAGATATCTTTAGTCATGCCTGAGAATTTACTCATTCAAGATCCCAGCCTACAGAATACAAAATTCCTTTCTTTAGTGTAGTGACTAACTTTCAGTTATATTTATCTTCACGCATAAAAATCTCAACGACTTTATTCAAGATTAAGTAACTTCAGGGCATTTAACTTTTGTTTTCCTAATACACAAATTTAAAATTTGTCAAATTACTGCATTTTAAATGTTTATAGTACCTAAGCACAGAATTGATATAATTAATCCCCTGAGTTGAAGTTAGTTGTTTTTGTTACACAGTCTTTGTTAATGTCTGGAAAATGGCTTGCAGTCTTAACCTTTTACAGTCATTAGACCATAATTAAACGTAACTTCACCAGTCACAAGGAGCTTTTGCTTTAAAATTGATGTTTTTGCTTTAAAATTGAAGTCTTGTCTTCTGTCACAGGTTCATGGCAGCCATGGGGTGTGCTACGTTCCATACGGGGGCAAAGAACATGCCCACAAGCATTACGAAGTCCTCTGTGTCCGCAACGTTCCCTGCAGAGTCTAACCTGTGCATTGCAAGCACCTACAACCTTTTGTGCCGAGTCTAGCATTTGCCTTGCAAGCTCCTGCGACATTTCATGTAGAGTATAGCATTCGTCTTGCAATAGCCTATAACCTCCATTCAGAGATTAGTCTTCGTCTTGCAAGCACCTGCAACCTTCTCTGCAGGTGGGAAGGTTAGACTCCATGGAAAGTCTAGCCGAAGGCTAGACTTTCCATGGAGTCGAACCTTCGTGTTGTAAACGTTTATTAAACTGGTCCTAATCATTAAACGTGTCGTGCTTCATCATGACTTGTTAATTTCCTTAATTCAGCCTGCAACGTCCCATCTATATGCAACTCTTACCTATATCCTGAAATCTAGTCCAGACCATAATGTTAAGGAAGACTTTAACATAATGATTCATAACCTTCAAAGTGACTTTCATATTCTTCCATAGCCAGTGGTTTACCTTCTTCAGAAATATTATATATTTATAGGGAAGTATTAAACTCGTGGGTTATACAGTGAGTCTCCTCCAGCTGGAGACAAATGGTATAAAATATCACAACAGAAAAAGAAACAAATCCAGTATAATGCAATCTTATTGACAACATTTCGCCCACGCAATGAGCTCTATCAAGTCATAGATTTGACTTGATTAAACCCCACTGTGTGGTCGAAACACGTTAATACAGGGCAGTGTTATATTGCATTTACCTAGTGCACATACCTTCCCTGGTGACAGTCTCCTTACTGGAGGAATTGCTGTCTTCTCTCATGCTGTGAGTGGCCTCCCGGCAGTTGGTTTTATTCACCTAACAACCAGAGCTTTGGTGTGATAGAGCGCAAGGAAAACGTCTCATTATGATAATTATTATACTCTGAGGGAAGCGCTAAACCCATAGGGGCCAGACAGCGCATAAGGAATGACAGGCAGTCAGGTCCACTTCTTCGGATCAAGAACCCCTCACCGGCATCAATTAAGCTTCACGACTGAAATATTCGTAAATAAATTATTCAAAGATACAAAGAATGAGAATAAAAATGTTTTTAAATTAATTTTTTTATTACACAGACACAAATAAAAGTAGAGAGAAGATTAACATGACCTTGATCAATATTTATAAGACACATCCACAGTTAAATCTATTATGAAGGCGTATTAAATACCAGCCAACCTGCCTCTCTGCCAGGCTAGCTGACTGCCTCGCTGCCAGGCTAGCTGACTGCCTCGCTGCCAGGCTAGCTGACTGCCTCTCTGCCAGGCTAGCTGACTGCCTCTCTGCCAGGCTAGCTGACTGCCTCTCTGCCAGGCTAGCTGACTGCCTCTCTGCCAGGCTAGCTGACTGCCTCACTGTCAGGCTAGCTGACTGCCTCGCTGCCAGACTAGCTGACTGCCTCGCTGCCAGGCTAGCTGACTGCCTCACTGCCAGGCTAGCTGACTGCCTCGCTGCCAGACTAGCTGACTGCCTCACTGCCAGGCTAGCTGACTGCCTCGCTGCCAGGCTAGCTGACTGCTTCACTGCCAGGCTAGCTGACTGTCTCGCTGCCAGACTAGCTGACTGCCTCGCTGCCAGGCTAGCTGACTGCCTCACTGTCAGGCTAGCTGACTGCCTCGCTGCCAGGTTAGCTGACTGCCTCGCTGCCAGACTAGCTGACTGCCTCACTGCCAGGCTAGCTGACTGCCTCACTGCCAGGCTAGCTGACTGCCTCACTGCCAGGCTAGGTGACTACCTAGCCGTACACACTGTAAACACAAACTTTGTACACACACACGGGTTAATTTTTGTTTAGTGCAGGTGGGAATACTCTTGTCAAGACCAGTAATGATACACTTTACACAAATACAATGAATCTGACGCAGAAACGTTGGGTACTGATGAAGGTATGGAAAAACAAATTTATGGGTTGCAAAAGCCAGATTGGAATATTTTTCTTTTTCACAGACAAAGAATGATTAACAAACAATGTGAAATTAAAATCTACACTTTCTTATAATTGCACTTTCAAAACAGTGATTAATTATCACTACTAGCATTAAGACAGTCCACGGACTGTCGTAATGCTAGTAAAAGAATATTTATGTATATGTAAGCCTAACAATCCTACAACGCGAGTGTAATTATTTAACACAATTTATCTGAGACCAGCACAAGAATTCTAACCTATGCTACCTAACACTGCACAGGCCGAGAGTCACGTACACAAGTGCTTAAACTATTCACGTTCAGATTCTTTATTTCAGATCACTGGATATGCAAAATGTACATGTGCCACCTTGACTGAGTGGTTTAACCAATGTTTGACTACCCGTGTCAGATGTCAAAGGTTTAAATCCTCTGCCGGTCTAAGAAAAACTGTATGTCTGTATGTATGTATTTATGTATGTATATATGTATATATATATATATATATATATATATATATATATATATATATATATATAATATATATATATATATATATATATATATATATATATATATATACATACACATTTAAGTTTATTTTAAAAAGTGCTATTACATGACAACACATTACAGTTTCTGTAATTAAGATTAACACTTTTCCCACACACGAAGTTATCGGCAAGTGTAAACTCAAGACATGATCAGTTTATAACATAATTTTAGGGGTTATGGTATTGTATTTTGATCAAGATTAAATATAATGAGACTTCGTATTCTCCTGTTGAATTTTACTATAAATATCTTTCTTTTCACTCTGCCTAAGGCCTTTGAGATATCTTTGGACAATAGTTAATAAATTTGTTTTCTATGTACTAAGCATTACTGAGAGGGTTTTGCTGTATAGTCTATAAAAAATATAGAAATCTAAACTTCTCGAAAGTCCAACAGCAAAGACTACAGCTATTCAACTCAAATATGTTGGTATGTCAAAAATCATAACTGTTCTAAGGTTCTAATTTCCTATTGCTTTAACAGCTTTATAACAACTTATTAAGTCACTACTCAACGGTTCTATGGCATCTCTGTCTACTTGAAGACTATCACTTGTAAACAAGTAAACTGTTACCCTTTGTAATGTGTTTGCTCCGTAACCAAGGTACACGAGGCTCTTTAAAATATATATCATTCTGGTAGCAATAATAGTTAACCTGTCCTTAGTTATCCTGAATACATGTTGTATACATTTTTTTTACAATATTTATTCTGAGAATTTGGATGATGCACACTATGTAGCTAACATCTACATGACTAGCTACGGTCTACAGCAGTCCATGATAGTTTTGCTGTGAATAAAGAAAAGATTGCACTTGGACGGAATTACAATAAGATGTCTTACCATAGTCCTTGTCTGCCAAGTGGTATATATATATCCTCAAAATTATATACAAGATAGAATTTATATAGTCCTTGTCCGCCAAGTGAAAGATATAGCCTTAAGACTATACAAAGCATTTTTTGTATGTAGAAGTCTTAGCAACAGGTGCCCTGACCACTGAGTGCCACGATAATTATCATTATTATTCTCAGGCATCGCATCATTGATGCCAAAATATGAACCACATGTTCAACATCATATATAAATATATCACATGGACAGATTTTCACAGGTAGTGAGGAATGTTTCCAGAAGTTACAAACATAACCTGGCTTTACCAATTATTTCCATGCCTTATTTAATCTAATTCAAGGCATGACAGATTTAATAAGGTCCTAGGCCAAGACATTTTCCAACTGTGTTTGTGTTGTGTGTAAGGCAAATATTCTGCTACATAATCTATACAGACTCAGAACTAAATAAATTCGTGAAGACTAGGATGAAATTTTTGTGTACACAAATTCGAAGAATGGAAACACACTTTATAAATCCGGACAGGTACTTTAAATAAATCACTATGTAATATAGTATATATGCATTTTTACAGGCTAAAAACACTGATTATTGTTATTATTATAAAGGTAAAGAGATAATTATAAAATAACATTTTATACGGGGATAACTCACGGGGAAAATAAGTCTATGGTAACTTCCTTCCATTTATGGATCTCTGGTAAATTAATTCCCGGAACACTGAAATACCACCGTGCATAAAAACAAGAAATTCGTGATGTTGTGGATTAAATATATAAGTAAATTTGACTGCATTTTGGGTATGAGGTTCCACCCTGCCTCAGTCACGGCAATAATACGTCGTGCAAAGATCTATAATTATTTACAGATTCATTTAAAAGATGTTTCATGAGACTGTAGTACACAGTCGTGAATGTCTGATCTTTACAAATCTGATGGTTAGGTTAGGTAAGGTTCGTCAGGAAACAGGACAAATGCTTCCTGACGCGGGTCTTAGTCAGGTGATGACCTGCCTTTAGACCTTTTGTCATCTGACCGAGGCCTTCCGCTGGCTTACCGGTCCACCCCTTTAAAAATTGATATAATTATCTGATGTACAAATCTGATAAAATTTCAAAGGATTTTTAATGTCAATGCTAGATATTAAAATGTAATTCTGAAGAAATTATATAGAGTAAATTCTAAATAACTGCAGTGTTTTCTGCGCTTGGAATAGTAAAAAGATAATTATATTCGTCATATTGTAAACTAATGTATTATAGTGCAAAACTTGTTACTGGTTTAATGAAAGAAAAACATAACAGAATTAAATGTCATTATGAGGCACGGATATTGGTGTCCTGGTGGGATTTTCCATATAAATATACATGTTTTTATAGAAAAAGACATAGCAAAAGGTCTTTTAATACATTTTTTTTTGCCATCGTTTGTCAGCTGACGGACACACTCCATCCATATGACTCTGTATCACAGGAACACTTGTAATAAATGTCGACGTATATATTGATAGATAAGAGTGTAACTATGACAAATGAAGATATTACCATCCTTCATATATTGTAATCCTGGTAGATGAGGACTCAGTTATGACTGATGTTCATGTTATGTCTGGTGGTGATGTTGTATTTGTCCTCTTGTGTTGGTGATGATCGCCAGGCAACAGGACATAAGTCTCCTGTCACTGGTTGGAATCAGCTGATTAAACGTTGAGGGGCTGAGCATCCGCTGGCCTGACCTACCTGGTGTCACACCTCGTTCACTCAGTAAATGTTCAACATAATGACATTAATATTACATGTCGAAAGAAAACTTATTCATGCATGACTTATGCATGTCAGGACTGATTTATCCCAGTCATGACCGATTTATCTAAGTTTACATGAATTGTGAAAGGTTATTCACGACTCTGTACCGAACTATCGGAACTGTGCATGAACACAGGTCTTGGAAAAACATCCATGCGCGATGCTTACAAAATCTGTATA